CAAGAGCAGTTTGGCCGAGGCGTCGGCGATCCAGTGTTGATATGAACGACGGCGGACTAATTAAATTGTCACCAGGCTGTAATTTGGTCACACGGCTCCACATGTGTAGCCACATTGTGGAGAGAAAATTAAAAATTGTTGACGTCTGTGGCACTGACACTAATAAAAATGTACAGAAACGACGCAGGTTGGGTTCATTAAGTTAATTGGAGACTTGATAATTACTGTTGACACAAACATGAGTGGGAAAGGCTGACTCACTGTCACAGTTTGGTGATCCTTCCCCGAGCCCCCAACAACCTTTAAAGGTCTAGTGTTCAATAATTAATTAAATGTAATGGTGAGACGACAGGTGAGGGGACTCGCTTGTCTCTGCACAGACTCTTCTGCTCATTAGGAAACTACGGTGGCCCTCTCTGACCAGAAAGTATGTAATACTCACAACGGAGTCCACTCATACAGCATGTTCAGACTAAAGAATGTTGCTGGTGTTAGTTTGCCCCAGTGCTGAGCGATCCCTGGAAAATGAGGGAAAAGAAAGAAATGTATCCCCAAGGTCTGGTACAGTGGACGACAGTGGTCATCAACTGACGACTGGACTCCAAAATAAACATCAAATAATAATGTCAGACAAAAATGTGATACTGTGGTACTTGACCTCAGGTGTACCATGTCAGCAGATACACTTGACCTCAGGTGTACCATGTCAGCATAAATACAAAATACACAAAAGAGCAGGCACAAAATCCTGAATGGGCTTGACGAGCAATTGGTGCAAATAAAATCAGACCCTTTGTTCATTTGTGAGAGTAGAAATTCCTGATCTAATAAAATGTATCGCAGCTCAACACCTGACAAATGTATAATGATAAAGCGGTGAGAGCTGTTGGGAACACCTGAGAGTTCTGTAGTTATTAAAAGCAGAAATCCCTTCAAACGATGACATCTCCGTTTTTGACTTGCCCTCGTTATAAATCAGTGTTGGTACAAGGCTGATTGAACTACATATTTGCTGCAGCTTAATTCTTGGCACACACACACGAGTATATTCAGCATTCGCTGCTTCCATCCTCAGTCAAAGCTGGTTTTTCACTCCGCTACAGTCTCCACATGCTCCATTTTGTACAGAATCCTTTAACAACCCGGCACACGAGCCTGGGCTGGAGACTTGTAAGCTGTCAAACTTACTAAGTAGTTGTCAAACTCAAATGCTCTCTCGCTTTCGTTACAGTCAGCTGTCACTTCAGTGGTGTAATCGCACTGTGACTCATCTCTGCCCCCAGAGGCTTTTGAGAGTTTGAGTCTACAGGACTCTGTGCTTTCACCAGTGAGGACGAGGAAGATACATTATAAAAATAGTTTAATGTTGGCTTTAACTGAACAAATGTCAAACTCTTGGCTGTTTGCTATGATATGTTGTCATTGTTAACATACAAGGTTCTCAGGGACCAGAGTTTGGTCTGGACAGGGAATAAAGTCCAGGCTATGGGGTCATTCTGTCTCTTGGAAAACTAGGTTGTGTGAACGCAGTCTGGTCTGTCTACATGGTGTTCTCCACTTCCTGTTGATGTCAAAAAACCCCTTTTTACAAGAGCCTGTTTTTTTCATCATTTGATAGAAGTCTCTCCTGCTTGAAGTGTCTATTGTTTTAATTGAGGAGAGGAGGACAACAGGAGAGGAAAGAAGTAATGAGAAAAAACAGAAAAAGGTTAGAAAGGAGGACGGTAAAGAACAAACAAGCAAAAGGTAGAGAAGTGGAAAGGAAAGAGGGGAAAGGAATTAAATGGTAGATGAAAGAAGGGGGGAGGGAAAATACAAGTAAGAGAGAGGAGAAGATAAGGAATAATAAGGTAGAGGGATGTAGAAGAGATGACGGATGGAGGGGACAGAGAGAAGAAGGGGAAGAGTGTGTGAATCTAGACTTGTACAGGAACAAATGAAGTGAGTGGAAGTTGGTGTCCTGCTGCTAAATGACTGCCCCTGCATGGCTTCCCAATTGTCACATTTTAATTACAGACATGGTGGAGCATGGTGGAANTCCCTCGCCCGTCACTGTCTAATGCCACCTCACAGACACGAGCTGGCAGGAAAACCCACCTCTGCCTCTGTCCACATCACGCTGGGATGTTTACTGTAAATACCTGCTAATTGAATTATCCATTAGGTTAGTTTTTTCTTGCTCACGACCGGTTGCATTTACTGAAGTTGCACATTAGCATCAGTCGCAGATGTTCCGCCCGTAAAGGGAGGGGGGGGCGAGGAGGGCACTCCTTGGCCTGACGACATCTATGTGGGAAAACAAAAGCTGCATAACCCAATCAAAACAGCTGTTGAGAAATGGAAAGGACTCCATTACAGTGACCTCACTCTCTCTCTCTCTCTCTCTCTCTCTCTCTCTCTCTCTCTCTTTCCCCCTCTCGCTCTCTAAAGTGGATTCATTCAATGTATTCCTGCCTGCACCTGAAATGCCACACGCTGCTGCTGGAGGAGAGGAAGAGCTTGTTGAGCAGAGCGAGTGGAAAGCACAAAAGCACATTTATTACAGGGTGGTGAGAAGAGTGATGGGCCGGAGAGTTCAAAACAGTTCTGCTGTGTGTTTAACAACAACACGTCGGTGCCTGGAGAAAGACTAGACGCAATCTGCTCGGCCAAATGTGGTGATGTTTTCCGCAGAGCTGAGAAACACACAGATCTGTCCCCGTCAATAACCCTCTGTTTTTGTCATCATAACCGGAGGTGTGTGTGTGTGTGTGTGTGTGTATGGGGAGGGGGCTCTTCCTATCTTGTCTTCTCCTCTATACTTATGAGTCTCCATGACAACAGAGCCACCGTCCAGTCGCGTGTAGCTTCAAGCAGAGCCACAGAAGTGAAACTGTTAACACCGGGGACAATGATTTGATCAGCTGCTCTTTGTTTGGGCAAATGACGCCTTCATAAAGACGTCCCAGCAGCACAGAGCAGGGTCTCTTTCCCCGGCCTCATCAACATCGATTCACTCTTTACCGTCATTAATCCACTGTCATTACTCACTCCTGCATTATTTCTGCTGGGAAATCATGTTTGACATAATAGTGGCCTAACATCTGTAATGTCCTGTGTTCCCCTAGAGTCTGGGAGGACGTAGTGCACGCTGTTCCTCAGTCTGTGTCCCAGACAGGAGCCTGAAGATGAGCCTGGGACACTATAGTTTGAAAACTACAGTTTTAATAACAGACCCCAGTGGACTCTGTGGTGTTTTCTAAAGAGTCAAAAGTCAGTCCAAAAGTTTCTTATTTAAGCAGTGTTTCCTTCTTTATAGAATTCATGGCGATGTTTTTCACACCAGGTCACCACCTTTGACCATTCTCTGCCTTGTCTGAGGACTGATGTCCACTTTCTAAGACAAGGAAAAATGTTCTTGCAGGCAAGTCAGAAACTTTGGTTACTAAAATTTTGAGAGTTGAGAAAAAAACAGTCCCATTGAAACTCAATGCACCTCAACGCCTGACAAAGATATCATAATAAAACTTTTCCTGTTCAAAGAAAATGAAACACTTAAATTTGTTTCGATTGTTAAAATCAAACACATCTTGGAAAGTATCTTCGATTGTTAAAATCAAACACATCTTGAAGTGTTTGTCTTGAAACTTTTTGACTCACAGCCAAACTTCAGTTCCACCTCATCCCAAAGAGTGACAAATTTAATAATAAAATATGCCCTTAATTACCACAACAACTGGATCATTTCATGTATTATTACACACACAACACAGTTATCTTTTGCTGTAGCCCATCAGTTTGTTGTAGAATGACTGCTGCAAAAAAATTACATATATAATAAATACATATAAACGTGACTGAGTATAAATGTCATCGTACTGACAAAAAATCAAAAAGCATGAAAATATTCATTCAAGATGTCTATTGAATTAATCTTGGCCTGTAGAATATATTGGTGAATTCTCAAGTCAGACTCTGTGTCTGAGCTTCTGGACAAATCAGTCTCTTTCTTACAGGTCTGTAATGATTTAATTTATTTAATCATTAAAGCTTCAAAATAAATGCCTTACATTTTATTTTGAAACTAAAGGTATAATTGAGATGTCACTAAATATTGGTCTGTTTTTGTTCCTGTGTACTTCTCTACTTTTGGTGATGTGTATTTTTTTTATTGTTATTATTTTTTTATCAATTTTCTGTGATTATTTTGTTTCCTGGCAGATGTCTGTTCCATGAAGCAAACCATCCAGTCACATCCACTCACGTGAGGGCTGTGGCCAGGAGTCGTGGGGCGGCCAGAAGGGAAATTGCCTCAATGAATGAGAGTCTGTCTGCCTCTGAATTAAGACGTCACAGTCAACGCAAAACTCAAACACCGACTGCGTAAAACGGGTTCCAGATGGGGTAAAAACCGGTTTGACTTTTTGTTTGTCTCCAAAATGCAATTATTTCTATTTTGCATAGCCATGACGTGAACTCAGAATCGTCTATTTTTACATCACTGGGCATGTTTCCATAGCAATTCCACGGATGTTGCCAAGCAACAGCATCGGATACAATGAAGACATGAATGAAAGTAGACCTATAATGTGCTCTTATGGTGACTTCACAGTGAATGGACTCAGACGCGCCTGTTTGGCATCCGTTACCACAGCCCGGCTCACTGTGTGGCTGCTGTGCCAGAACAGTGCGACTTAACAGTTGGCACTCAGTTCACAGCGTGTAATAATCCTGTAACTCCACTGTGATCTGTCACTTTGACAACACAGGAGATGTACAAATAGGTTCTCTTCACTCACATCACAGGTTTTTGTTCAACACCATGTTTTTATCGTGCGCTTTTCTCCTGATCTCGCGTGCGTAAAAGCACACCGAGGTCTGTGCGCTCCGTGGATGCATGCGCGCACCGCGGAATAAAAGAGTCCGGAACTAAAAACTAGTGGTCGGTTCAGAAATATCAATAGTCTACTCACAGAATAGGCCTTTGTTTCACTATCAAACTGAAGTGACACCGAACTCACCTTCAATACAGCAGATCCTCCACAACCCGGAGTGGGTGAGATCGCCTTTCTTACTTTTAGGCTGCGACTGGTTCTCGTCCGTGGAGGCATTGGTTGCGTTGCAGATGTACGCCCGAGAGTAGAGCCAGTAGTCCGTGCCAACGGCGATGGTCATCAGACTGAAGGCGGCGAAAGCGCCCACGGTGGCCAGCAACGTTTGAACCCCGCGGTCACACCAAGCCATGACGCTTCATGCCTGTCCACACCGGTCCAGCGTGTACGCACCGGAGCGCGTCAGGGCGCGGATGCTGTGGTCTCTCTCTCTCCTCCTCCTCCTCTCTCACCCCATCTCTCTCTCTCTCTCCTCCTCCTCCTCTCTCACCCTATCTCTCTCTCTCTCCTCCTCCTCCTCTCTCACCCTATCTCTCTCTCTCTCTCCTCCTCCTCCTCTCTCACCCTATCTCTCTCTCTCTCTCCTCCTCCTCCTCTCTCACCCCATCTCTCTCTCTCTCCTCCTCCTCCTCTCTCACCCTATCTCTCTCTCTCTCTCCTCCTCCTCCTCTCTCACCCCATCTCTCTCTCTCTCCTCCTCCTCCTCTCTCACCCTATCTCTCTCTCTCTCTCCTCAGTAGAATATTTAACCCGATGCCAAAACTGTCTGTTGCTGTGAAAATGACAAAGACACTACAGTTGTCTTCACCTCAGACGCTCCACACAGGTTTGAAGCGCACGGTGAAGCCCCTCGGCCCACTGATGCCCTGATTAGGGCTCCTTCGACCCGTTCAATTCCCTTTTTCTATATTCCCTTCTTTTTTTTTGTCGTCAGTCACTTTTCCCTCAGTTTTCACCAGGAGTGAGTCTTAACAGCCAAAGCGCGTAACGTCAACTGCTCCACAGCGAGACCCCACCCTCACCAAACCTAACCAATGGATGACATGTGCTGTTGGGTGGTGGAAAGGGAAGAAAATCAAAGATATCCGTTGGAAACTGGATCGCTGTGGGCTGTTGAATATATGGAGATTATCCACACCAGTGTTTATGAGTCAAACAATCAGTGTTGGGCAGGAGATACGTGGACACCCACCAGTGGAATTAGTATTCATGAATATAAACGGCCAGAGTCAGCTGTTACTGGGGTGAGGAGGGTGAGGAGTGGGAGAAAGAAGTAACAGTGAGCTCCGAAACAACGGATAGATAAATAACTGAGAGAAGGATCTGTTTGTTGTTTGTATTGGTGTTCAATACTGTAGAGCGTTTGAATGAAGAACCAGTCGATTCTGATGCTGATGAAATTATGCTCAATTTTAGACATACAGTGTTTATTAAATGGACTAGTTAGTTATAATTTGAGCTTTTCACCTCAAGAATAACGTTTTGACAAAACTTGATACTGAAAGTAAAATGTTACGGTAGAAAACAAAAGATTTTAAAATATATATGAAAGAGATTTTTTTAAGAGGGGCTTCTAAAGAACCGTGGATATCAGCCAGGACCCCAGTGGTGGTGAGAGTAGAACAGAACTGTGAGGTTACAGAGCCAGGAATTGGTACTTCTGCTAAAGAAAGATCTCTAAGCTGAGGTGAACATGGATTAGCTGAGGAGAAGACACATACTGGAACCATATAGAGAAAATAACAAATATGTGATAAATATATGACAATATAAAAATTATAAACACAGTTAAAATATAAACATAAGGTAGACATACAGAATGACCTCTGACAAAAACACAGAACAACGCAGTTAAAATATAAACATAAGGTAGACACACAGAACACAGAACAACATTGTAAGAAACAGGGCTCAGTGATTTGTAAACCTCTGTTTAAAAGACCAAAGAAAAATGAGCGATTCTTACTGAAGTGACCAGATTGAAGAGCATTAAAAATAATCAGAACAAATGGCCAAGTTGAGCTGTTTGGAGACAAGGACAGTGAGCCAAGGTTGAGAGGGTTTGGACGCTTGCTATGGATCGGGAGTGTGTTGTGTTCTGGACAAATGATGATAGAGAGCGAGCGACCAGACTCCAAAGAAGACAGATAATGGAGAAGATGAAGACATCAAAACAGTTGTAGTGACAGTAGAAGAGGCGTGGGGAACTGAGCTGGAGCTGAAGATTTATTTTGGTGAACCTCAGAAGGACAGTAATCTGCATTTGCAAGTGACAAATACATAATACATGAGCATGTTACCAAATGTCACCTACAGTCACACAAATACTTTCACAGACTTTAATCAGACTGCTGACAAATTAGTTGATTAAACCTGCTGTGAAAAACAGGATGAATCAATGTCAGTACTAATAAAACTCTCTGTGGCAGATGGAAGACTTTTAAACCAGCCTAAAAATTAAAAATAAAAAGCATCTTCTGGCAACACAGCTTACAGGCTTTTGGTGTCAACAGATGTGTGGTTTCAACACAAACTTCAGGATGAATCTCCAATTTATTATTCCTGTTGTACACATTGGTTAAATAAATAACAGATGACGTGTGATCAAAACAACCTTGCTTGAACAGTTCACTGTACAAGAAAATTCCCTCAAAATGCATTACATTACTGTTTCTTAATCTTGTATTCTCTGAGCACATATTCTGAACATATTTATCTTTATTATATTTTTTTATATATATTTATACATCTTATTCCCGTGTGTTAGTATAATTTGTTTACTATTTTTCTTTATTTCTTGCCTCATCCATCCTTATTTGTCCTTCTCCATTTTGCTTTTTCTATAATTATCTCCCAAACAAATAAATACACAAGAGTTCCTTTCGCGTGCAAACAATAACATTGTTTTGTAAACTTTAAAGAAAGTGCCCAAACCGCACCAAGTTAAACATCCGTCTCCTCCTGGCGGCGCCAGCTCGCTGCTGCAGTAAAGGGAATTGTGGTAGGAAAAGGGGACTGCATTTGCTCTTAGAGCAAAAATGAGAAGGAGTAGTCTCTGACGTGATCATTCAGCGCCACCGTGTCGTAGAGCGCATGCGTGTTTTAACTTACAACGGCCGTATAAGCAGTGACTGCACATGCGTTTCAGAAAGCGTGAGAGCCTTGTCCGCTCCTTGTGTTTTTCTGGAAAACAGCTAAACAAAAGGCCTGCCCCCTTTTTCATGGGCCCGACTCCATTGCCATCGTTACTTTACGAGTAATCACGATTACTTACATCGGATTACTTTTGTTTATTAACATTTCTAAGCATCGCTGACAGTCGAGGCAGTGTCCGAAATGGATGGTGACCACCAGGAGCAGAGCGGCGAGACCAAGTCGGCCATACATTCTTGGCGTTATCGCCACCATTTCACGTACAAGGCAGATCAGGGGAAAAATATCATCGTCCAATGTAATCTGTGTCTACCCAGGGTCAACCTGCTGTCCACGTCGAAAACCTCAACATCAAATCTAAAGAAGCATTTAGACGTGAGTCCCACCAAGTGAACAAAGTGGTAAAGTTAATGTGTCGTGGAGTTACACAATAAATAAACAGGGACACTTCAGACTAGTAACGTTACATCCGTTTATCCGTGTATCCTGCCGTTTAGGAGAGAGAAACATTTCAAAACATATGGAAGATATTGTGTCTTTTTCACACTTTAAAGAAACATTTCAAAACATATGGAAGATAATGTGTCTTTTTCACACTTACACTCACCAGTTTACAGTGCTGTAAACTTAGGACATATTAATGATACACCTCCAGTCACTAACACTTAATCTGCTGTTTTATCCTGTTCTCTGTTTTATCCTTCAGAGATCACACTTGGGCTGTGAAGCCAGTCCTGATGTCAAGAGAGGGAGGAAAAAGGAGGAACACAACGGAGAGGAGAGCAGGCACTGGCAGCTGAAGAAGCTCAAAGCAGAAATCATCTCCAAATGCACGACTCAGGCAAAGATGGACGATCTAATCTTCAACTTCATGGTGGAGGACTGTCAGTCATTCCACGTCCTGGAGCAGCCTGGCTTTAAGAAGCTGATTGGAGGCCTAACTGAAGGGCTGAAGTGCATGGACAAAGGAACGCTGTTTACCAGAGTCGACCAGAGGTTCTCAACGATGCGGGACAATCTCATGGAAAAACTCAGTAAAGTCCAGTACGTGTGCACCACAGCTGACATCTGGACGGCCAACAACAGGAGCTACTTTGGAATGACTTGTCACTGGATCGATGAGGATTTTTTAGAGAGAAAGTCTGCAGCTCTGGCGTTCCCACGGCTGCAGAGCAGGATCACGTATGACATCGCAGCTGTACGAATACATGACATACACGTGGCCTTCAACATTGAGAGCAAAGTTCAGACCACTTTCACCGACAACGGCAGCCCATTTGTTAGTGTGTTTAAAGAGTTTGTCGTGGACGGTGAGGAAACTGACGATGACATTGGTTTTTATGAGCCGGTCAGCAGCATCCTTGAAGGAGAGCCTGAGGAGGACCTTCTCCTGTTCCTGCCTCCACTGCAGCGCTGTGCATCACACACTCTGGAGCAGATTGTTTCGGAGGACCTTTATCAGGCTCTGTCACAGGGATCCATGTGTCAGCTTTACTTTAGCACAATGACTAAGGTGTTTGCCATATGGAGCAAATGTCACCATCTACAGGTGGGCATGGATGCTGCAGAGCAGATAGGAAAGATGGCCCTGACCGTCCCGGCTGTAATTCGTTGGAACGTGGAATTCTGCGCTTTGCAGAAGATCGTTTCACTCACTGAGAGGGAACTCACAGAGCTGCGTGCCCGCCTGGAGATCCCACACCTGCAGCCAGATGAGATGGCTTTCCTCAAAGAATATGTGACTGTGTTCCACCCGCTGGCTTTTGCACTTGAACTCTTCCAAGCAGAGCAGAAATGTTACCTGGGTCTGGTCATCCCAACTGTTCTCAGTCTGAAGAACAAGTTGAATGAGCAGAAAGATGCTGCAAAATATTTCAGTGGTGTCATCAACACCATTGTGTCAGCTATCGATATGCGCTTCCAAGAACTGTTTGCCAGCCGAGAAGCGCGGATAGCAACAGCAACCACTCCTCAGTTCCGCCTGTGGTGGATGCCTGCATCTGAGAGAGATGAGATGTGCTCCCTGCTGGCCACAGAGGCCTCGCAGATGGAGCCAGGTAACATAGCCGAGGCGAACACAAGCCATAATGTATCCACCATCGAGTCAGAGGACGACTTCTTCGATTATGGGCCCGTGAAGCCAGCAATACAGATCCCACAGAGAGGTGTCATGGAAGAGATTCGCAAGTACGTCGGAGGAACCGGAAAGTTCCTGGACTGCCTGCAGGAGTTCCCCAGGGTCAAGCAGCTTTTCCTCAAATTCAACACCACCCTGCCTTCCACAGCGCCTGTCCAGCGCCTCTTCAGTCACAAAGGGAACCTGGTCACATCGCAGAGGAACTTTCTCACGGACGACTACTTTGAGCGTATTCAACTGTTGAGATACAACAGCAACGTGTGCTCGTTGACCACGGTCAACTCAGTGCAGTATCAGGGACACTCTCACACTCTCAGTTCTTCACACTGATGCTTCCTTAATTCCCCTTTGGGATCAATAAAAGGTATTCATCTAACTATCTAACTGAATGAACAACACTGGGTTTGAATTCCTCCAGAGACAAACTGAATTTTTTTTTTTAGACTGCAAAATCCTAATGTGTTTTGTAATGTCACACTGACCTAGTTTTATAAATGTAGCTCCAGTTAACACTACAGACTAGATTAACAATGACTGTACAGTTGTGGCAATCATTAACAATGACACCTATGGACATTTTAATGACCATCCATTGTGTGTGAATGTTGTGATTGGATGTAGGTTAAAATTGTGATTTTCGTTTTTTTAGATACAACTTTTCCATCACAATCCTCTGTTATTGTTTTTTAAAGAGACAATAAACCCTTAGTTTTTCTGGGTATTGTCGTTTGAAGCCATAAGGAGTAACACCAGGGACTGGGCTTCTTAATTTGCATGCAGCACTGACTGCACCATCACACAGATCCCTGATTCAAATAATGCTGTCTTCCTGTGCAAAAAAAAAACTGACAAAATGAGGAGTGAGCAGACGCAGCCATGGCAGCGTGCACCGTCCCCCAGTGTATTCTTTGCCCTGTGCCCAGATGTCAGTGAAGAGCTTGTCTTGTCTCACAGCTGCTAGGAGACCAACAGGAGGCTGTCAGTGAATACAAACTCACATTAAAAAAACGCACATCTGTCAAGAACATAGCTGTCTAAAACATGACAGTAGTAGGGATCCCCCCCCCACCCCCCAGTCTCTAGAGTCTAAACCCCAGGATCGTTCTCTTCTTTGTTAAACAACATCGCCTCCAGGACTATATATTATTATGACATATTTGAGTTGTCTGCTTTGTCAGAATGGGTTAGCTTAATATATCCTGGAAATGAAGCTGTCAGGTCTGTGACACAAGTGTAATTGGGAATGTATTCAGTCAAACAGCAGATGTGGAAGATTTTGTGATTTAAAATAAGGCCCCAGCAGAAAAGAGGTGATGTATATTGTTACTGTGTTCTTTCTTTAAGCATTAAATGTTATTTTTTTAAGTTTAGCAATGAAAAAAATACACGAGTTGTGATGTATTAGGAAATCAGGAATTATTCATTCTAAGACTTCCTTTAATGATTCACTTTCAGCAGAAATAGTTTTAGTGAATGTTTAGTTCAAAGTTTGGTAAGTACAGCCGGACTAAAACAGGACTTTCCAGGCTGTGTCTTAAGTTACTTGGTTCTCAGTTTTCTACCAGAAGAAATCTAAAATAATTTTACCCCAAGTAATCAAAGTACTTCTGTGTGGTATTTAACGAATTCTTGTCTGTGCCGGGAAGGAGAGGCAGTTCTGTCTTTAGGTCAGCAGGGTAACTCAGCTTAGTTTCTAATGGCAATTCTGCCACCTGCTGGACACATTACAGCACATTTCCTATCATGTTAAATGAGACAGGAGACATTTTAAAGTGACATTAGATGTAGTAAAACAAAGCCCAGACTGCAGTACCAAGTTTGAGCCAAAGTTTTAATGGCTTCAGAAAAAAACAAACAAACAAACAAGTTCTAATGTATAACTCCTGAAAATATCCAGTCATACACACGTAGAACAGGATCATCTTAGGCACAGAGTGGGAAAGTTTAGTATGTTTCTGTCAGTACCTGTGATATCATTCCATCACCAAGCCCTTGTCTTTACAGGCCCCTAATACTTCCTCACTAGCAAATAGCCTGAAAGCATTTTGTTATAAAAAAGCAGCACAATAGAGTTTTCAGTTTAACCTTTGACCTTCTCATTAGAGTCAGGGTCAGTTATTAATAATTTTAGTCGAGGAAAGCATTAGAAAGTCTCTCAGATAACAGCTGGGAGGGTGAACACCTTTTATTTGTTTCTCTCTCACTTTGCTCATTTTTTAAACATCCTGATGTCAGCTCTTAGGACCAACCCTCCCCCAATCACTGCACAAGTCCCTTGGCAGGACTGAAGTGGCCCAGGTTCTCGCAAGACTTGACCCAGCGCTGGACGTTAGCAGGAGCTGAAGGAGCTGAGCCGCTGCTCAGCATGCAGCAGTAGCAGGCTATGTCTGCTAGGGAGAATTCTGGACCCACCACCCACGGGTTGCGTCCCAGGGCTGAGTTGAGAGCCCGGAGGACAGCGGCGTGCTCCTTGGCGCTGCCTTCAGCCAGCTGAAAGAAAGCCACATCCACCCATTGATCCACCAGGGTAGCTAGAGCGGGGTCGTTGGGGTAAGGAGCCAGCAGCTTGAAGAGGAAGCGGGCCACGTTGGCCTCACCCTCAATGGGACACATGTTTCGGATGCTGAACTTCATCTGCAGTTTGGGGACTGTGGACAAGAGGCAGGAGAATCAGGTGTCATCCAAACAAGGACAAATACATCACTGCATTCACAGCATTTGAAATATCTATATGCAAATGTGTAGTGGTTTTCTACTTGCTTACTGCTCCACGCAGCCACTAATACAAGGCATCTCACCATCTTTCCATATGAGTGTGAATCCCAGCTGGAACAGGTGACGGGCGTAGCTGTCAGCATGCCGTGGACCCAGACAGGACAGAAGCTGCGGTGACACACTTGCTACTGAGGAGTGGACATGGACAGAGGAGAGAACCCGGTAGCGCTGAGAGAGCAGACTGTGGAGCACCAGCAGCGTCAGAGGTGGCTGTGCTGGGTTGGCATTTATGACAATATCACGGAGGGCACCCTGGTCCTACAGTACACAAGGTGAAGATGGTGAGTTACTGAATAAGAGATATGAACTAAATAAGTAGAAAAACATTCAGGTTTAATGCTGAGATGAAAAAGTCTTCCACTATCAGGCTACCAACTATCCACACCCTCATTTATGCTTCAAGACAAATTCTTTCATGAGCAGACAGTACCAGTTGGTACACTATTCAAAACTTGTAACAACAAGTAGATGTAAAAATATGATTAGAACAAAAACTCTTGAGAAAAACTCTTCTGGCATCGTTAGAAGACGCCAGTGTCTGGTCAGGTTTCTCACTTTGCCCAGTAGTGCGTCCAGGTCTGTGGTGCCTTGAAAGGTGGCGGCGCTGATGGATTGGGTGCACAAACTGCTGCTGACTGTCAGATCCAGGTCTGCATCAGGGGTGGTCACTGTCTTGGACAGGCCCTCCACTGCCGCTTTCAGCTCGTACAGTTTTCTCATGATCTCATCCTGTCGGGCCTCCAGAGCTTTGACTGCTGGATCTACCTCACCATTCTGTGGAGACAAAAGTGTGGAGTTTGAACAATTTCAGTACAACTTTTACAGCAAAAAGGCCAAAATACAACAGTAATTTCTTTTAGTTTATTCTTATGTATATGGAATCTAAAACTCCAATTCAATGTATTGATAAATATTAAATTAATCAGGTCTCCTATTATGACAAGATTATGAATCAGAAAAATTAAGGTAAATAAACAGGAGGACTGGTTACAGCAGAGGCCCCACCCAAGAAAACCTTGTTTTTTAAAATGTGAGCAGGTCTTTAAATCACCGCTTTGGAATTTTTTTTTGTTTTTCTGTTTGTGTTTCGTTTTTGGGTTGTTGTTTTTTTGCACGTTGTTACAACCTAACACATTTTCAGCTTTTTTTTTGCAATTGAAGCATTTTGACCAAAATTATGTTGTTTTTTTTATTTTTAAAAGCAAACATTCTATTTGTATTACATTGTTGAAATCCAGCCAATCGTTGCTGCAACCTACAATTATTTCAATGACAGATAATCCGACGTTTCCTTTTTTGAAGTATATATTTGTCATTTTGGTCGTAAGAAAAACAGTGGAATTACCTGTCTCGAAATTGTGAACTTGTCAAAGACTAGTTTAGTCAATTATTATTAGATTTGTCTGATTATTAAACTGAATGTTTTTAATAAACCAGAACAGTTGGAACGATTATGTTCGATTACATTAGAGGCTGTGGCGCAAACCACATAAACTTTATTATACATTAATTTCCTGCATAATTCTCAGTTAGTACTGCTTCATGTATGTGTAAGTAGCCCTTTATCATTAATACAAGTCAAGCTGGGGCGGGAGAAAGTGTCCAGATAATTCCTGTCAAATGATCGCTACTCCCAATAACAGTGCCTGCCAATTATAAAGCAAAAATAAGAAAACAAGTGTTTTGATTGACAGTCGTTGTTGATTTAATTGTTGCATCAGTTTTACAAGGTTAGCCAACTAGCTTAGCCACAAAGCGGCTCTTGCTAACAAACTGGGAGAAGCTAACTTCGGGTGAAAATCGGCAAAAGCGAAAGCAAAACGAAATATATTTGCACAACAGTGAAGCAGGGGGGAAATTATTTTAGCGAATGAAATTATTTAACAGTTACCTGAAGCGCGTGTTCGGAGCAGCAGCTGTTCCCTTGCTGCGCGTGGATATTTGGTAACTTGTACATGCAGGTGGGTAAATCTATCTGAATGTCACCACCACAGATGGGCTTTACCTGGTACATAGGCATGGCGGGGTCTGATCACAGTCACAGATAAACCGTTCAAACACTAAATCACACACCACACACACGTCTTCAGTGGTAGAGGCGTTGACAGCAGCAGGCACCGACCGAACCGGCCTGACCGGAAAAGGGCTCTTGTGACGTCACATCCGACAATTGGGTCACTAGTTTGTGTTTCGTTCAAAGAAAAAGAAAAAAGAATCTTATGTTGTGGCTGATTTTATTAATAATTACATTTAGAATGTAAGGTAAGTAAATGATGAAGCCAGTAAATCCTCAAGTAACATTTTTTCATTTTCTAAACATTTCTTTTTAACTCATGAAAAACATTTCCTATGTATTTATAACTCTTCAGAATTAGCTTGAATGTAAGAAACGTCAGTTGTAATTAACTTAAACCATGTCGTTTTGTTGTTGTTTAAATGTGAAAGAATTTAGACTGACTGTCTGAATTATGTATATAGACTTCAATGTATGTATTTCTTTTCTATTTTAGGATATAAATCCGGAAATGTTCAACAGTAGTGGAGCGTTGTCCTGGTATCCATTGAACAGCTTTGCCGATGTTACTAAATGCAGAGAAGGCAGTTCAATAGCAGGCTGTAGCCTGTAGAGAGCAGTGGTGCTGCAGTTTTCAGCTCAACCTGACGTATTTACGTAAGTGTTTACATTTGAATGGATTTCTAAGATTTTTATTTATTTGAATAAGTGTTTGTAAAGAACATTACACCGTGGTATTCAAGCACAGACAAAGGAAATGAATTATTGATTTATAAAAATGGATTAGACATGTTTGTGAATTTGAAAATACTGTAATACAGCAGCAGCATGAATTATTAGCTTATCTGACCTCGTCTTTAAAAAGCCCTGCACAAACGATTTACACATAAGCATTGGTGATTCAGTCCAAATGCATTTACTGAAAATCAGATTATGTTTTGTCACATGTGTTATCTTTCATCCACACCGGTGGGCAGTATAGCCATCACAGCTGCCTGTAGCAACAGCCTGAAGTGTGAGTGGATTGTTTGCCATGTAGACTAATATTTGGGTGTACAGTGAGTCTGCAGTGGAGTTTGTAACTAATTTATATCTTAGATACGTTATTCTCTGTTGTTATGTAAATGAGTCCTGGAGGCAAATATCCCATACAAGCAGAACACTTTATATCTACAGTACCTGCTCCGCCTGAATAACCTGCACATCTAACTGACACGCTCAGTCTAGCCAATGTTATTCAATCTCAAGTGATCTTTTTCCCTTAATCAACCCTGACAACACAATCATTTAACCGAAAGCACTTTAAGAACCTGCAAATCTGTCAGCCGTCGGCCTCCCTGTAACTTTTCTTTGTAGTCACCTTCTACATTGTCAGATGAGGCCTCTTAGTACTGTTTCACACCCTCTACTCTTTGGCCCCAGCATAGAAGTTTAATGAAAATGCACACTCGCAGCTGACGTCCCAGCAGCTTGTTAACCCTGAATAATTCACTGTTGAAGTCTGGTTAGTAGAAGGAGCCAAGGAAGATTAGGGTTATTGGGCCAACTGGGCAGCTCTGCTGAGGTAACGGTCAGATCTGATGGCAGCTCCATATACCTGAGCTAGAAACTGAGACTACAGGGGAGCTGAAACCTGACAGTTCACAGTTGTTCTTTAAATCATGTAGGGACAAGGGAGTCTGTCAGGCTGTAGGGAGTAGGGAGTAGGGTTGAAGGTAACACAGACCTTGTCAGTGCTATCTTACCCTGGTTCAGTCTTACTGGGTCAGTGATATAGGTAAACAGTGTGTTAAATGATAGATGGCAAATGATACTTTGCTTGGAGTACCTTAAACACAGCTTATAAATTATATGTTGTGCACACATGGCTTCATTGTAATTACTGTCCTGAACCAAATCATGTTGAGGTGTGTTAAGCTCATGGAGGAGTTGGACCAGAGGAATAGTCGTAACGTTCATGTTCTGTATGGAATCTGTGTGAGAAGGATAGCTGCTTGAAGAAGACAAGATTTTCATCAAGTATTTGTTTTATACTTCGTTAAAGTAAAGTGGTAGCATGATCAATAAATAGTTAAAAATGAGCAGAAAGTAGAATAAAACAAAAGGCCAGAGTCATTATTTTAACTGGAACATTTTCAGACAATACATTGTGATCCAAATAAACACTGTCCAAGTGGTTTTACCTTTTTAGGATTTATTACTCTATTTTATTTTGATTAATACTTTATCGAATCTGAACTTAAGGCACATCTTTTAATCAGAAACAGTGGAAAAAATTCTAAAAATATACAAGCTTTCCAGACTTTTTTTTCTGTAAAATTTTACATGGACGCTACGAGGCGTACGTGATCTAACTTATCCAGACAGCATGCCTCCACGATCCAACAGGTCAACACTGGGTTTTTCATAGATGACACTGACCATCTTGTGTGACAGTGCCTTCTCATTTGGAAAAGTCTGCAAAGTATCAATCTGCCTCTGCACCACTCCACGACAGCTATTACTTAGTCTGGGGCTGAGTAAGCGCATGTAACAGCTGCTCAGGGCCTTAATCAGGGCGTGTTTTTTTTTTTTTAGTTCAAATTGCAAACTTGCATTAGTCTAGTTAATAGAGCCCGTGCAACGTATAAACAAGAGCCTATCAAGTGGCAGAGATGCAGACGACGGTTCCAAACAAGGTGGAAGCTGTTTTTCTAGAACCAGTCATCCACAAATGTTGTGTTTGTTTCAGGAATGGCCACTGATATGTCACGGGCTTATCATTTATTAATGAGGGGAAGCTCCACGCAGACATCATAAGTAGAGGCTCAGGACCACTGCATGTGGGACAACAAGTAGCAGTGCTGTCAACCCCTGCATTATGGATAGTGTTCCTGCACAGAGTTCACAAAGCCCATTCAGTCATCCTAACACGCCAGTTAAATCTTTCACGACGTTTCTCCCCGTTCCGACTATCAGGTAGCAACCTCTCTGATGCTTCCAGACTCCAAAACACTGGGGAAGAGTCCTATTATGATTCGGCCACAGGAAACTCTGAACTAAATGGTCAGCAAATAAGCAGGCGGTAAAGCCTCTCAGTCTCTTCTTTAGCTCTAAGCCATCAGCTTGTTATCAAGTAAAGATGGGGCGCACATTAAAGTTTCACACACAGCTAATCAGTAAGCTGAGCCTGACAATCCTTTATTGATATGAGTTTTTAGCCACAATGAAGTAAAGACATCAATTATTTACGTGCCAAGCAGGAAAACAGATTATAGGCCACCCCAAAGGGCAGGTGTGCATCCTAAAGGTGTTTGCATTGTATTAACAGTCAAATAACGTCTTTGAATATTGTGGTGCTGGTTTACGTTGGTCATTCAATGTCTGCAACATGCTTCGAAAACTATTTGAACGCAGGCAAAGTAAGACTGTAAAGTGACGTTCTGGACAGTTTCTCAAATAACAGGGTAACTGGTGACGGGCTGCAGTTTTTGATATAAGGTTTGAAAGGAGAACACTCCAAAGGCTTTGTCTATGCTCACATAGTTTAGCTCCGGAGTCGTTGCTAAAGATGCTACGGGCAAATCAGTAGTGATTGCATGTGCAGTGTCTGGCCAAGCACCAGGGATGTCCAGGCTTATATTAGAACTTAGAACATACTGTCATAACAAGGCTTTGTTTTTCACCAACTGTATGGATTTTTCGCAGGACACTGTCAGGTATTCATTTACACAAGTCTGTACTCAGTACTGGCCTGGCTGCCGTCAACAGCTGCCTTACAGAAATAGCGTCCGGAGCATCATCAAGAAAAGATGGGGAGTTTTTTTTTCCTGACCTGTCACATCTCACGTATCTGATGAACCAGAGTGAAACACTGAACACATACAGCCTCGGTCTGTCTCTCTCTCACTCACTCCATCCCCCTGCCCTTGAGTCACATTATCTTGGACTGCTGTCCCTCAGCAGCATATCTGACCGTTAGGGACGACCTGTTGTCTCACATTTCCTTCCTCTGTACCACTTGCTGATCCCGACCCACAGGGGTCACGCCTTTATAATGTGTCCCCTGTCTTGTGTTACCTAGTGGCTTTCCCAATCCTGTCCCAGTTTCTGGTGTGAACCCCTCCTCCTCCCCCCAACTTGTCCCATAGTATGTTGATCCTGTAGTTTAAATTTATGAAGAGGCTGAAACAGCTTTGATGGTTAGATGACATCTATTTCATAGAATATTTATAAGAAATGGAAGTAGATATTTGGTTATTGCAGTAAGAATGTAAAGCTGTGCCACGTTGGTTGTCCAGGTCATTGGACTGGTTAGAAGAGAGGAAATTATGGGAATGATTAGAATTTTCCAACTGGATTTAGAACAAAATCCAACACTTGCCAGAAGAGTTGTATGTGTGGTCATTATGTGTTTTTCTTTTAAAAAGGAAATGATGACAGTTTTGTACAGTATGATGCACTTTAGGGTTAAATATACCAATACCAATGTGTCTATTCTAATGCAACCATCTGGTGGAGGCCATTCAGCAGAAGACAGTGTGGATGTTAAAAATAATGTCTTTATTTTTCATCTTTATCTTCTGTCATTTTGATGCATACTGTAGACTCCCTTCTGCCTCTGTGATAGCTCTACACCCCACTTTCGTAAACATGGGCCTAGTTTATGCATTGACTTTCCAACAAAATCTTAAAGCATTTTTTTTTCCTTAATGAAACACATCCTTAAACAAATGCTACAGACTTTAGCTGAGCGAGTCAGTGAACCCACCACAGATTTAAACCGACATCTCTCAGGGTGAAAGCTGTATTTGTGTTTGAGAGATGTTCCAGTGAGAAGTTCTAAAGTTAGGGCTGTCCTGGACGCTGACCGGTGATTCAGAACTGACCGGTACTTGTGAGACGTTTAAGATGAATATAAGGTGTCATCGCAGCCTCGTGCTAATACCAGGGTTTGGAGCGCTCATGTAAGAAGCAGGTGTGTGCTGTAATAACCAGCTTCTCCCTGTTGTACACCGATAATTAGAATGACAGCAAGGAAGACGTCTGGGAATAAACTGTTACCCCACTGGGTGTGTGTGAATAGTGAGGTGATGGTTAAATGAAGTCCGGTGAATCCTGTAAGTGCAGACCACGGCTTTACTATGTCTCCTACAGACTGTAGAAGTGGAAGAAATGTCCTGAAATGTTCACTTTGCTGAGAGTTTCAAAAAGACCCGGTCGAAATCTGAGACTCGTGTATTTATTTTTCTTTGCAAAATCTGAGACTCGTGTATTTATTTTTCTTGAAATTGTCTGCCGGACAATTTCTTTGTTCATGTGAATGCATTTATTTGCTTTGGATCTTGATGGTGTATTGTATTCTTGCAAATTATTGCTTGATGGTGTATTGTATTCTTGCAAATGATTGGGTCAGGGTGTGTGTGTTTGTGTGTGTGTGTGTGTGTGTGTGTGTGTTCAGATGGGTTTACAAAGCTGAGGTCAGGTGTCACCCGATCCACTCAGGTGGTTATCAAGGTCACTTCCTGTGATTTCTCCCTGTGTTAGCTTGTTGGTGCCTCACGTTCATAGACAAAACCCACTGTAAATACAGAAACTAAACCACAGTGTTTTTATTCAGTACATATACTCCAATCAGCGAGATAACTTTTTTTAATAACACCTAGAAGACCTTTCAAAAACACAGCACACACTTAGCAAAACAAGTCAACGAGTCAAATAACTTGGATTGTATTCTTTTATTTTCTCAGTAATTTGGTAAATGGTACAACTGTTGGGGTGAGGAAGAGGATCTGCGTAAAACATAAAGCCTGGATGGATGACAACGCATATGACCTGAGCGAGTGGAAGTAAATTAACTAAACTGGTCTATGATTTAACTGCAATAGGAAAAAAGACTCCTTGAGTAGCAGACTGCATGATGGGAGCAGAACTGGGGTCAGATAATGTGGTGGAGATGACGTCCATCTGTTTAGGAGCTCACCATGTGCTGGAACTCTGTGGAGAAGAGAGAAAACGTTGGTTATTTATCTGAACTGTACATGCTTGCAGCTAGAAAAACAGCTTGTAGTGTGAGATGGGAGTGAAATGTCTTTAAATATATTTTATTTTATTCAAAGCTCCTCAAATGTTAGGATCTGCTCACCCTCTACTCCAATTTTCCCATCGCTGTCGTCATCAGCAGCCTTCAGGAAGCCCTGGGTCTCTTTATCTGTCAGGACACGAGCACCAGGAGAAAACCTCTGCAGGAAAAACCTGTCAGACGCAGAACAACACACGGAGGTATTAAAACTGTTCTGCTGCAGGAAAAACAGTCTCTTCTGTAGCTGTGATATTGTCTTTTCTCTGACCCAGCTGACCATGTGGACACGATAAAGCAGAAAAAAGCGGCAATGGCGTCTCACTCACTTAAGCTCTTCCTCCTCGATAAACCCACTGGCATCATTGTCCAGGATCTCAAAGACCTTCTTCACATCCTGAGAGCTCTTGTCGCTGAGGCCACACATCTTGAAAAACCTCTTTGGGCAGAAGGAGTCTGGAGCTGCAGAGGGAAGAGAGAAACAAAGCTGAGTCCCTGTTTTAATTGGAAAACACTGCCAACAGTTTAGCTTTCTTAGGTCTACCAAAACAACACTGCTGATGCTGCAAAGTCCATGCATGTGCTAATGACACTTTCCAAAGTATTAGTGTAAGATCATTTAATCCTTAGACAGAAAATCAGATATTGGAGAGAAAATAATGGACATTTTGTAATTTAATTAAAAAAAAAAGATCTATGAATGTTATCTAAACAGCTAACAGAGTTGTTGAAATAATAACACATTAAGGTTTTAATAAGACACCTACTTATGTTGATGTCAAATTTGTTTAAATCATATTGGTTTGTCTGATGTTTCTGATTACATCGACTTAAGTGAAATTTTATTTTTTTGAATAAAATCAAAGGGAGAACAGTGATGAAACCGGAGGATCGTCCTACCTTGGCAGTCCTTGAGAGCAGCGTCGATGGCATTGGCGGAAAGGACGGATGTGAGTGACATTTTTATTTCTGTTGGAGAAATAGAAAAAAGCCGAGGTGAAAAACTGATACATTTCCTTAACGACAACCAAGTCTGAACACAACGGTATTTAAATCCATCCAGCTGACTGACAGGACGAACATGTAAAAGCCCATTAACCAGTTGTTATACGCCTGCAGAATGATGTGGTTTTGATGCAGTGCATACAAGTGACATTGTTTCCTATCCATTAGTTTAAACCTTAAATCAAAATAAAAGTTTAAACAAAAATCGTTTTAAAAAAGTGCTCCTGGTTTGCAGAAGAAGACGAAAAAGTTGTGCGTAAATGGAGAGTTTCTCTCCATTTACGCACGGACGTCGTTCGTGTATCACTTTATGGAGTTAGAAAACTAACGTGTCTATAAGCGAACAACACAATTAACCACTCATTCCTCACTTTCAGGTAGAACTGATACAAGGAATATTAAAAAATAAATCTTCAGTGTCTCCACGGCGCAGCCACTTACCGTGTTGAGGGGGAACTCGCCCGGTCGGTGATCCAGCAGAGGAGGTAAGGCTATGTGGTGACTCCTGTCCGTTCAGGATGATTTATATATAGGTCTGATTGCAGTGACAATGGGGTTTGCTTGAGTTACCTGTCTGTGGATCAAATTCTAACAGCCCGCCCCTGATCCAATTTCTCTGCTAACTAATTAACCTTTACTATTTATAACGCCGCGAGGCAGAGAGACGAACCGCACCGTGGACATCTGTAACGCCCTCGAATATTACAAATTAGTTTAAAAATAAAAAAAAAACGCATTCTCAACTCATCCTATACTCACTCGCTCCCTCTCTGCTGCCATCTCAGTATTTCTCCTCCCCTCACTTTAAGGATCATACGGTACAATAGATGCCGGGATGCTGTAATGTGACTGTGAACTGGGATGTCCTGTCCTCACTTTGTGCTGTATCTGCACCCTTCCCTGCTAATATCCATTTTCAGACAACAGTCCCTAAAAAGAACTTCATTCCTGTTGATAATTCTTCCTATCAGTACATTTGACATATAATGAAGAGAGGTAATATAATGCAGGTGTAGGCGCTGGATTAAATGGCTGGACTGTACTACTGTTGATAATTCTTCCTATCAGTACATTTGTACATTTGTACAGCTGTTCAACCAGCCTTCAAGAGAAGAGTGAGGAATGCAAACAGATCTAACAGAGTTGAGACCAGAGTTGTTGATGCTGTATGAAGTAGAAGATGAAAATATAAAAATACCCACAGTTTGGAACAAACCTGGAGGTTGTATTTCAAAAACGAGTGAGATAAAAAATAATCTCAACACTATAGTTATGACACTTTCTGGAAGAATAACTATGGTCAAAATAAACAAAATACGAACGGCTCGGCCGTGTGATTTCTCATATTTGGAGGAAGTAAAGGATGATAAATATAAACATAAATATTTAGGGAACCTTATTGAATTGATTGTGGAAGGATTTTCAGGCAGAAAAGAACATGAGAAGATTCTCATAGAAAACCTCAAGGATCTTATACCTTAGGTAGTTGTTTAGTCTTCCTAGAAGACAATGACGCCATGAATACTTCAAAATTATCAGGAACTAACTCCAGGAGAGGTGCACTAAAGAGGAATGAGCAGGGATATCCTGAAAGGCTGGCCCTGGTCTAAATTTACCAGGATCTGGTTCAGGTGACCACTCAACACACCACAGCTGTTCCACATTCACACGGCCGACTCTCAGGGATGCTGATGATTAATCACTTTGTCATTGTCTCACACTGATGAGGATGAGGGTGAGGATGAGGGGACGACTTCTCTGAACTGCTTTGTCAACTGTGCTGATGAAGGAGGAGTCAAGGTCACCGTGGGATGATTGGGATTTAATAGTGAAGTTGATCAGTGATCCCAGAGATTCACCTGCACCATTCAGACATGTGTAGCACACACAGGTTTCACTGCCGGGGTGCAACACCAACATCATGACTGCAGGAATATCTGTGTGTGTGTCCCCCAAAGAGTTTCCTAACGCAGTGTCAATTCATCCACAGGCAAAAATGATGACTGCAGCTTGTCTTTTCCGGGGACATTCGTGGCTCCCGGGGAGTGCGACATAAACAACTTTAAGGATGATTAAGCACATTCCCAGGAGAGCCTTCACTGCAGTGGAGCACTGTGGGGAAACTGATACCTCCCTTCAATATGTAAGGTTAGTTAAGGGTTTGTAATTGCAGCAGTGTTGAGAGGAGACACAAAGGATGGACCTAAGACCTGTAGTTCTCAAACAGGGGCATGTGTACCCCCATTGGCACTTAAAGACACTATCTGGAGTATGGGATTTTAAGATGATTATTGTGGTGTGGTGCAATTGAAGGTTCTCATGAATTAATTGTTCTCACAAAAAATATAATTGTTTTAGAGAAAACAAAAAAATCTAACATAAAAAGAAAATAAAACACTACAAAACATTCACACTTTTCACTAACATAAAAAGAAAATAAAACACTACAAAACTTTCACACTTTATAATTAGTTAGTCTTGGTAATGATTACATAATAGCAAAGTCTTAGGAACCCGATTTGCAGTTTAAATGAATGAATGCATTCATCAGTATTTATCAGTGTATTTTTACGTGTTTGTTTGGAGGGGGTAAACTGCACTGACGTCACAGTCTGTTTCTCAACCAAAACTGTTTTGCGTTGGTTACAGGATACTTATCCTACAGAATATTTCACAGTGATACGTAACTAAGAATGACGGAGAATTCTTAGGTGAAATAGTTTAAGCGGCTGTTTTCCTTAATGTTGTGTAAATATTAACCACTTAATATTTACTTTTGGTTTTCTATACTGTGAATAAGAAGTCCATAAAGATTAGGTTCCACCGAGATTTGAACTCGGATCGCTGGATTCAGAGTCCAGAGTGCTAACCATTACACCATGGAACCGCTGTGTGGAGAAGGGTTATCACATTTGTTACACATTTGCCTGTGATATTAATATAGCGTGTAAATGTTATTTAAATGTTGTGCCTTTAAGATTATCGTCAACATTTGAAGCTTTTAACACACGAAGAAACATCAGCAGTAACCTAAAACGCGTGCAAGGGATAGTGAAATTTGATTGGATAAGGGATTTTACGCAATGATTACTCCAAGAGTCAACTTTCTGAGAACTTCCTGCTTTCATTCTTGGTAAAATTAAAGCTCGTGTCTCTCGCGTGTAGGTTTTGCCTTCATCAGCTTTTCCTATAAACCTAATCCCGGTGCCAACGTGTTTGTTGGGCCCCTCAGCAAGTGATGCCTGATAGTCTAGTAGTTAGTGAGGTTTATAGTGCAGGTGGAGCAGGTAAAGAGAAACTCTATCGTCTGCTTCAGATTGTGTGTGAGAGCCTGGAGACACCGGATCGAGAGCAGCGGTGCGAGGCTCCCCACAGCCCTGTATGATGTCATGGGCCATGTTGATACCTGCTGGACTATACAGTTACTGGCCAATTATTTATTCATTTACATCTGCTAATGTCCTGTACCAGGAAGGGGACCTCAGCCTTTTCCTCTTACTTTTGGCTGTTTGAAGGATTACCTATCACTAGCTATCACTAGTTATGACTGGGACAGACTGTTGAAAATTCTAGTTTATTCCCTTTTACTGTACATTTTCTATATTGTGAAGGACGTTTGATTTATCCCTTACTTTTAGATTTTTTCCGACTATCGTTTACTAGGTTTCTTTCATCACCTTTTCATTCTTCCGTCTCTTATTTCTTTCTGATAATCGGACTTTTTTTCTCACCTACACAGACCACTTGTTTAAATGTATGGTGGGAGTTGCTTCTACTGTACTGTACGTCTAAAGCGATCCTCCGTTCCGAACCCATACGTAATGTTCACATTTAATAAGGCACCCCCATCTAGCGTCTGCAAGGAAGAACTGCAGCTCCCAGCACACTTCAAAATTAAGACCTTGGTGTATTTAAATTGCATTTTGTACGATTTGAATCATTAGATGGTTTAATCTCTTGGATGGTAACGATAGTCTTGGTGTATTTGAAGACTATGTAAAAGTATATATTGTTCATTTTGTTAAATCTAAACTGATCAAGTCTTTTTTTTTTAATTTACATCCGTTACCTGTAGTGGCGGCGGCCATATTGGATCCCAGTGTTTACATAATAACAAACTTGATTATAGTTTACCAAAGCATCCACACGGTTTCCTATACATCTGAACAACAACCGTGTAGCGAGGGAGGTGTAATTAGATGTGTAGTAACCATTAGGTGTTGTGTTGTCTTACACAGTTGCGGTAATATGTTTGTAAAATGTTCCTTTATGAGAAATTATATTTATGTAATATTTTATGGAACCATTGCCGACATAGGATTTGTAAGTTTATTGTTATTATTATGGGGATGGAAAGAGACACAAAACATGTTCCACGAATAAATGCCCAAGAAGACCGTACCAAAAGAATATTTATTCTTTTTTAACTGTTTGTTTTTCCTGGAAAGTGCATCGTAGATTTTACAGTAAGCAAAATTCATATTTAAGACATGAACACGACCGAACAACATTGATCATTTTTTGGACAGTGTGTTGCGGAGGAGGAAGCATACTGTATCTTAAGCAAATGTATAAAAATTATTTATATTCAGATGAAAAGAGGGGGAGGTCGATGTGGGCTTGTTTGTTCCACCAGAGCAGGTCTTATTGGTCAGTTGCCTCTTCATGGCTTAACCATGGCAATGAACTCTGCAGGGACACAGTTGACAGCGGAAAGGAGAGGTCATTACACATGAAACATACACGACTGAAATGTTAACAAAAACCTCTAGAGGTCGCACCAGAAGAGCCAATCTTGCCGTCGCCGTCAGTGTCACCAGCCTTCATGAACGAGCCTGTCTCCTTGTCGGTGAGTGCGCGTGCATCCTTTTTGAACACCTGCAGGAACAGCCTGTAGACGCAGGAGAGCGCTGGTTAGTCGAGTGACTCTCCAAGTCTTCTTCTGATCATTAATACAGTAGACCTTCATACTACCCATAGACAATAACAATTTTCTTACGAAGCGAAACAAAAACCGGAGTTTTTACTATTAATCAACATTTATAAGATTACCATTAAATTTAAAACCCTGGTTTAAAAGAGTCTGAACGTGGTTGACAAGGTTAATTGATGGAATGAGGATTATTGTTGCTATGTTGAGGTCAGGCATAAGAGTGTAGTTGGGGTAAGTCAACAAAAATACCCATTTCTAATTTGCCTTTTGCATGATGGCAATGCAGTTTTTTGTTTATGCAGGTGTCTTACTTCAGTTCTTCCTCCTCAATAAAACCACTCTTGTCCTGGTCAATGATGTTGAAGGCCTCTGTCAGCTGTGCTTCGGATTTGTCACTCAGACCACAGGAAGCGAAGAACTTCTTGTGGCAGAAGGAGTCAGCAGCTGAAAACCACAGCAATGTGATTATAAGTACGAGAATTATAATACAGAAACGTTCTACTACTCAGGGTTTGCTGTGGCTGTGAGTATGTTATCAAACTAACCTTTACACTCTTCCAGGGCTGCAGCCACTTTGCCACTATCCAGAAGCTTATCAAAAGACATTTTGATCTGCAAATGTAAAGGATTTGAATAATTCAAATCTTGTTGTGTTCCTTAGTATACCAGAATGAAGAGTTGTTATTACACCACTGCTTTTACAACAGGTAAGTATCAAATCAGACCACATTTTACACCACTGCTTTTACAACAGGTAAGAATCAAATCAGACCACATGTTCTAAACTATCTGATCTGTTGACAAATATAGCCTTTAAAGATTATTGTTCCGGTCCTCTCGGTCTGTTGTTGTGTCCATATCCTTAAAACCAAAGCCAAACCAAAACTAACACATGTTCCTGTAGAACAGTTCACAGATGCTGAAACTCTGACCAGTGATCCCTGTCTTCATGCTGCTGCCATTCTCAAAAGAAGAAAAAAACCCCACAGTGATCTATCCCTCAGCAAAAAAAAAAAATCACCTTTTCCTTAAAAAGCACAGACTTCCATCAGCATTATCCCCAGCTCTTCTTTTTTCTGTGTGTTTTTCATGCAAACTCACCTCTGGAGTTGTTCCTCTGTAGGGTACAAATGATACAGACAAAGGTTCAGTCGACTGCAGTGATCTTCACTGTGCTCCCAGTGACCTTTTATAGTTTCACTCCATCGAAACCTGAGGCATAAGATAACTGACACCACCAAGGAGATGAAGCTGTGCAGGAGGAGGGGGTGTCGAAAATTTCTCCAGCAGAGAGCAGTCTATTTTGAGTTTCACAAATGAAGACGCTTAAAAGGTGCGTTTGAAGAAGTCTTCAGTATACCCCTGTGCTAAGAATAGGCCTGGACACTGCTGAGGAGGACAAATTGGAAATGCTGCTGGAAACACGCAGCCTTTTTAAAGAAGGTGGACACTGGTGGGCACGTCTTAGAACTGCATGGTGTAAGTGGAACCACTTTTGTTCTGAGACTGTTGAATATAAAGGGAAAGTTCAAATATTTATGTGTTTAGTTAAAGTCGTGAAGTAAAAATACTCCTTGAATACATAGTCCTGTGTATTGTTGTATGATTATTTTAGTATTTAGTATAATTTTCTGATATACATTCAAATGATAAATATTCAGTTCATGCTGCATTTGAAACTTTTTGATTGGATTTTTTTAACAAATCCTAAAAATGTAGTTGTGTTTTTATTGTTTTTATCCATTGTCTATTGTGATCAATTTAAGTGATTTATTATTATAAGTATACTTTTTTAAAAACAAAAATCCCTTATGATTTCTTATACTATTTATCTCTCGTTCTCTCTCTTTATTTTACAATGTCAAAGATCATCTTGTTTAGTCAATTCCACTGTTATTTTTGTATCAGTTGTTTAGGGCCTTTCGTGATCTTTAGAGCTCTGGCCAGTAGGTGGCAGCACATATCGGTAATTACTGCTTCTGTAGGACTCATGACTTGTCTTTGAACATATTTCCCAGGATTTAATTCCCCGAAATATCACATTGAGACATTGTTTCCCAACATTTAAATTATTAACTTTTCATTGATGTTTTCAGAAACTTTAGCATGTGTTTCTCCAACAATTCAAACTGCTTTGATTTAAAAGCTAATGAGCTACAAACTGAAAAGCTGCAACACATTAAATAATTGGTTTAAACTTTTGTCTCTTTGCAGCAGATGAAACCTGTATGGAGGTCCTGCTGATGCAGCGGTGGCTGTTAATAGCCCTCCTGTTGCCACAGCAGATCAACTAATTGACTACTCGGCAGTTGGTGTAGAGAAAAAGACCTTGGAGCAGCGCGCCTAATTATACTTTGTGTGACAGCTATCCATTGCCGCCCTCCCTGGGTCCAGGAAGGCCCTGGGCCGTTCCTGCTGTGTCTCCTGGCCTAGGTCCAGCCACACTCATCTTCCCATTAGCTAATTATCAAAACAAGTGCTGGCGAGGTCACTTCATCTGTCCCTCATCACCTCCCGAGTATTCGGAAACCCCTAGCACCACCTCTTAATCAACCCATTGTGTTGACATGCAGTAGTCACAGCTGTAATAGGCACACTTTGGGATAGCAGAAAAGATTGACCTGAGCAGGATGACTTTACACCATAAGAGTATTTATTCCTGGTTTTTCACTCTTCCTCACAAGTGCAGATGGTGTTGTACAGTTTGCACAAGTCATTTTTCAATCATATCACACACCTGGACAATAAATTGACAGTAAAAATTGTGTTCAATGTTGAGAAATAGTCCGCAGGCAACTCATAAATAAGATATAAAAAATATTCTTTCAGCTGATGAGTAATGATTCTTGAAAGGAGTTCGCAGTTCCCAGAAAAGAGGTTGATCTCGGTCAATGGAAATTTATGCCTTAACAAGGGCAGCAAACTCTGTAAAAGTAGAATAAAAACCGCTATTAGTGAGGAGCAAGATGGCTTGAGATTCCGATGTTACTGTATATCAGAGTGCAGTGGTCTAAATCAGGTGTGTCCAAAGCCTGGTATTTGGGCCAGACTAGGCCCATTAAATGTTTAAATGTGGTCTGGAAGTGAATGTTAATCAGTACAATTTTTACAAAATGTATACAAATAAATCATATAAAGCTAATGCTTTACTATTACTAGCTACCATAGCTGAGTGAATAAAAATAGTGTTTTAAGCATTTTGTAGATTGGAGGAATTGAAGTACCTCAATGTATATACTGTGTGTTTTGGCCTTGACAGTTTAAATAATTTTAATTGAGTTGGTTATATTAAATGTATGAAATAAGTAAATAATTTGAAAAAATGTATTGTATTAGCATATGAGCCTGAAGAAAGTTGAATCGGCCCACATACATTTTTACATTATCATATCAGGTCCGCATGAAATATGTTTGGACACCTCTGGTCTAGTCTTATTAAACCCACTGCTGGGTATTAAAGGTATTATGTCAAATTATGAAATTAACTTTTTTTATTTAACTATTTTAAATCTTATTGAAAGTGTGAGATTAATCCTGTTTTGCTCTGCCAGGTCTTGTTGGAAAACTGTGGCCAGTTTCTGTGAGAACTCACCATCAACTCCGATCTTGCCATCACCATCACTGTCACCAGCGGCAAGGAAGGCCTTGGTCTCCTTGTCAGTGAGAGCTCTGGCACCAGCAGAGAAGTTCTGCAGGAACAGCCTGTCAGGTGAACACAAGGGGAGAGCAGAAGTTAAAATGAGGTTCGTACTGAGTTCAATTCTCTAAATCAATAAGTGGAGTTTCTTTTTAAACTGTGTGTTTGAAAAGCTCATCTACCATTTGAGTGTCTACCCCATCTACCCCTCCTACCCCCCAGTTAAAGCCAATTTTAGCTCACACATAAACATGGCAGGATACTACCCCTCAGCCTTACTTTTAAAAAAGTATAAAGTCACTCATGCCACAGTATCTGAGGGATGTTTTGGGGCTGCTGAGGCCTGAGTATTTAATGTCTGCATGCTGTAAGTGTGAAGTTTTGGGATGTCTTACTTCAGCTCCTCCTCCTCAATGAAGCCACTGTTGTCCTGGTCAATGGTAGCGAAGGCCTTCTTCACATCAGCATCGGACTTGCCAGCCAGACCGCATGCCTTGAAGAAGTTCTTGTAGTCGAAGCTGTCAGCAGCTGGACAAAAAGCACATTTCAACATCATTAGTACCAGATTTTAATGGTACTCATTAAAACAGGGATAAATGGCAGACAATATTAGAAGTTTAGAAATGGGTAGACCATGACAGTCTCGGCAAATCTAATCACCTACTTGCTTGTGAACCTTAAAGAATCTCAAGCAAGTCTTTGTTGAGACACTTAAGCTAGAACTGTTTGCTTGGTCTTCAGTAAGTTCTATTGCCGATTTCAAAACTTCTAATAGAAGTAAAGGATCTGAAGACATTTAGTGCTTCAGATAGTGAGGCTCACCTGCGCAGCCATTCAGGGCAGCTTTCACATCGGAATCAACAAGTCCAGCGAAGGCCATTTTTTCTTATCTGTGAAGAGAGATGGAGATGAACATCACACAGTGAACATTTTATGCATTGGCAACCAAGCACTAGTGAAAGGGAAACGATCAAAGGCCCCGACTGTAGTTTTAGTTTTTATCCTTATGTAATGAAAAGGCCTTAAATCATGACACAGCAGTATCAAATAATAATAAAAAAATAACTGTGAGGCATATTCTTGCTGTAATCTTATTAGAGACTACAGCTGCAGCCAGTATTGACACAGCACTGGAGAGTTATCTTCTGTCAGTGCGCAGATCGGACTCGGTTCATCCTGTATCGTTCTGTCAGTAAACAGACGATATTTCCATAGACCAGTAAAACCGACAAAACCAGTACAAATCTCGGTGCAGCGCGGCCTGGCAAGACGCAATCATATCAATTTATCCGGATCAAAGTAATATCTTAAAATTGCGCATTTATCATCCATAGACGTCGCTGTTCAATTCTCCCAGTGGTCCGATCATAGAAGGCAGCTAAGTCTCATAGTCCAGTCGGATCTGCTCCCCTGCATCCCTTTTCCTCCTCAGTGCCAGAAGGTCCCAGATTCCACACTCACCTTTGCTCTGCGTTGAGGCGAGTGAAAAACAAGGAGGACTGGGAGTGAGTGTCGAACCTCCGTCCTGCACTCCCTTATATATGTAGGAGCAACACCATTTACAGAGTTTTGCGTGTAAGTATCAGGTACCAAGATGCATGGGTTTCGAAAAAATGTGTCTAGTAGTCCAGACCTATTTTTAGGCCAACAAATGAGGATGCTACCATGTGTGCTGGAGGCCTATAGCTAGACGTGTGGAAACCCGAGCAGAGCCGCAGCTCGTTCACTTCACGGGACATGTTGCACTTTGGAGATTTATCGCCCGCACACATTTATTTAATGATGGCGATTTTACTGTCGCAGTGTTGCAGATGGGAACATAACTGCAATGGCTTGAAGTGTGTCATCATCCTAACGGCTCTGCTGCCAAGTGGTCATTGGATTAACCAGAGACAGGAAATGTTGAATTTGAATACCATATCATTACGTCTCCACAGAAATGCTAATTACAGCACATTAAAAAATTTTTGCATCACAGTGAGGGTGATGTGTTTATTTTTGCACGATTGAAATTGCACCGTTGAATTCAGTGAGGGTTTAAAATGTCACAGCGTCAGTTTTGGTGTCGCAACACCTCTCTGAGATGGTTTCAGGTGATAGAAATGTGCCTGTTGGTTCATTGGTAAGCCACGTATACTGTATATAATATTTCCATATGGTACATGTGAACTCCTAATGCAGCACATGGCAGGGATAAAGGGTAAACAAACCCAGTGCCCTGACGTCCTTAATAGGAAATGCACCAATCATTCACACTATTTTTGTGTCCGCGAACCCATGAACAAATAAGAAACGCTTTCTTTTTGTGATTAACAGATTTAACGTTAGCACCCCACGAGAAGACTTGATTGTCACCGTGTTTTGTCCTGCGCCTCTGGCTGTGGTGTGTTTTGTGGATTTTTTGTTTGTTTGTTTTTTACTTTTAATTTTTCCATGCTTTTATTCTTGACCAGTTCCTGTTTAAGACTCTTATCAGTTCACTCCTGCGGGAAACGATTTGATCTCCAGTAATTACTGCACGGTATTTCTGCAGGAATTCGACCTTCGTCCAGCAGAAGGCAGTAAAAGTCCCAAGGCAGGAAAACCATGCAGGGAATTTGAGTCCATACCAAAGCTGGACGATGCTTCCAAATGATTTACATTCACGTTTTTCCCCACGTCAGATTAACTCCTCAGCAACAATATGTCTGACTGTTTTGGCTGTTATGCGGAAGTGTTTTTTATGTTTTTTGTTTATCTGTTGAATGAGTAGTAATCAATAGTCTCTATTTAAATGGAACGATGCCTTAACCTTTATAAGGATAGTCATGTAAATAAATATAAGTAATAATAAATATCTTATTTTCAGGACTAACTTGAAACCTACTCAATGGATGTAATTTGACTGGACTGGGAACATGTTTAATGCATGAAGGTTTCTTTTTATTACGGTGATGTAATTCCTGAAGTTAAGATGTGTTGATAAGCATCAATGCATTATAGAAAACACTATTATGATTAGCCACACCAGTGGAAATAAACTATAACCACTGTTGCATGCAATCACACTCTAACCTCATATTATAATTATACTGTATATGGCGCCTTCCATAGTGGATGCACCCCGTGTCATGTATATAAAGACAGCAGTCATATGACAGTCAACAAATACATTTATTGTCCCAGATTATTAATTAAACGCACACTCAGTAAATGTCCATCTTTAGCTGCCTATTTGCCAAATCTGTTGATTTGAAATATTTATCTTCTGCATCACAGCAACACACACACAAAAATCACATGGAATGTCATGTAATGAATTCACTTTCAATTTCTTTCATCGTTGGGAACGGCAGCTGGAGCATATATGTCATGTTCTCTTTATGATTTCAGAAGATCACAGAACTCTGCAGGGAGGGGGAAAAAGGAGGATTCAGTTTTCTGTAAGCAGGAAGTCAATGGTTAAGTCAGTTTAATTTTGCTGATCAACAAATGTATGTCCTTCTTTATTTTGCCCTATATTTAAGGGAAATGTCATATAGTTTGTTACATGTGCATTTAATTGAGTGTAACTTCAGCACTAGGTTGTGGACAGTTCCTCTGCACTGCACTGTTTCTCAGTTTTTTTTCATCTGTTTTTCAGATGTTTTTTCAGATGGACCCACCTTCCATCCCAATCTTCCCGTCATTGTCTTTGTCTCCTGCAGACATGAGCGTCTTGGTCTCGACCGCAGACAGCTCCCGTGCTCCAGGAGAGAAGTTCTGTAGAAACAGTCTGATGGATTGGAGAAAAATGAATTAAGTAACTGTAAAAAGCTATTATTTTAAATGCAGAAGCTAAATGTTATTGCATTTGACCTTTACTCCTGTATAGGCAACTGTTGTTTTTATCTTTGACTGTTTCCTCATAGTAGTTCACATGACCATAGATAAACAGATGTAAGACACACGTAAAAACAAGCCCACACACACACACATTTGTGCTAACATGTTCTAGTAAAACTCTTTCTTCTCCCACCACCACCATGTACACACATACAGATATGCACACTCACATTAACACACACACACACTTCATTCCTCCCTACTTGAGCTCCTCTTCCTCAATGTAGCCACTATTGTCCTGGTCCAGAACTGTAAATACTTTTTCCCTATCTGCCTCAGGTGCTCCGATGAGTCCCACTTGTGCAAAGAAGGACCTGAAGTCGAAGCTGCCTGGAGCTACAAAGGAAGAAGAAGGAGACAAAGAGAGAGAAAGGCAGAGAGTGAGAGAGTTGAATGGGTATGTTGCGTTACGCTCAGATGATTTTCATTCTACCTTTCAATGACATTTACCCAAAAGACCCCGTAGCACACTGCAGCCTTATACTATTACAGACTACGTCACTGTGTCATTGAAGAGGTAGAAGAACAGAGAAAATGCCAAAGGCTCTATCGTAATTTAAATGCTAAAAGCCACTAAGGCTTATATTTCAAAATAAGTCATAACACATCAAAACAAACGACAACAAAAGCACAGCTTTCAATCTGTATTACTTAACAAATATTAGTCTTAGAACAGACAACAATAAAAAAACACAACTGAAGCCAACCGTTGATGTTTTTATTAAATGTGCCTCAGTAAAAACAGGGACATATTTTTTAAATTTTAAGGTTTTGTTCATTGTTCTTGTCTAGATCAGTATAGCTCTGCATCTTTATTAAAAATAACAAGAAGTCTAAAAGTGATAATGTGATGCCACAATATGAAACACTTCTGGCTAAAAGATATGTAAGCAAAGACATAAGACAATTCGGCCTTGTCGTGCAGATATAATTGCTCGAGATAAATAATTAAGTGCTATGGGATGTGAAGGCTGTATATACCTGGTGTGATTTGTTCTTGTCTAAGTGAACACTTAACATGAACACTCTGCGTAGTAACTGCTCTCCTGCCACATGGCTGCCAGGTTACCTGCATGTCCCTTGTCCCCACTGTGAACAACATCCCCAGTGGGAGTGGGATTTAATAGTGACTGTATCCTTCTGACCCTGTGTGATATGCAAGTGGAGATGCCGTATGCAAAGGTACTATGGAGGATGTGTTCTTGCTTTAATGATGACATCCTTGCCAAGTCGGGGTCCCAAGTGTCCCAGCCTGTGCGTGTGCGCACTACTTTGACTCACCTTGACAAGCCTGGACTGCAGCCTTGATGTTCTCCTTGCTCAGCATCCCTGTAAAAGCCATGGTCCTCTGTGGCAGCCTGAGGGAGAAAAGACACACATACACACACGGAAAGCAAAGGAAATAAAGAGGGAGAGGGAGTATGAAGGAAACAGATTTATGAAATAAACACAGGAGTCTAAGATTGAAACTGCAATTTATTATGTATTATTAACTTTTATAATCCATTTTATTAAATTCTATTGCTACCATCTATAACTCCCACATGATGAGAATGAAGTGTACATTCATTGGCTGTGAGTTTTAAAAAAAAGGTAAAATAGAAGAAGCAAAAATAGTGACTCTGCTTTACATTTTTTAATAGTAAGTGATAACTGATCATGTCAAAATTAGCTGACTCCACATACAAAGATGTTTCAAATTATAAGTCGAATGCATCGTAAAGGACAAAACTAGAAACATTTTGAACAAAAAACTTTATCTCTACGCACCTTTCTTTGTGTTTTCACTTGCTGAGCCTCTGACGTGCAGTTCTGAGCCTTTCTTCGCCCTGCGCCACTGAGCCACCAACACTCTACTGACACTTCGTGATACAGAGCGCAAAAAGACAACCTGACGTTTCTTTCCTCAAACCCAGGAGGGTTTACTCCTCACTACAGAAGCTCTCCCCCACCTCCTCCCCCTGCCTCATCAGTTAATCAGAGCAGATAATTTTCTCCCTCTTTGTTATGCAAAATATATAAGAGAAAATTAGTAAAAAAAAAATCACAATACAAAATAAAAATGTATATGAATTTGTTTACATTTTTCATAGAATAATTTGTAGAGTATTTTTCTTTTTTTTTACATTTTAATACAACTGTTATTCCATATTTGCGTGATCTGTCATTAGTGACAGCCTGGATAACAGTGAATTAGTTAAAAAAAATCAATGTAAATACCTAAAAGCAACCTAAGTTGTTTATTTAAGGAAACTTGATTTTGAATTTAAGGTTGTTCTTCTGTAGCAACGGTTTGGCAATTTTTTTTTCATTTAGAGGATGATGAAGCTTCTTGATTTTGTGTAGTTTGACTAAAATGGTTGTTCAAGACCCACAGATGTTTTCTTGCCCTGTGTAGTGTGAACAACAGTTAAAGCCACAGCCAAAACTGACAGCAATGCCTGCTTAAATTTTTATTAGGGCTGCCTTTAGGGTTTAATAACACTTGGTAGATCCAGGAGAACCCCTACCATTTCAAAAAAGAAAAAACAAATAGGAAAAATAGAAGCAGAGGAAAGTGTCCCTGCAGCTCACTATACATTATACATCCTGTGGCCCCATTAAATATGAAGAAATAAACAACACGTGAATGTTGTTTAATGTGAAAACAGGAAACATTCAGGGAACTAACTGACAGTCGTGCATATGGATGTTTTTACACACTTGTGAATTAGCTAATTAAGTTTTGTTATAAGATGTGGATATATTTGCTCGTGAAGATGAACAACGATTGGATGCGAGTGTGTAGGCTGAGGAAATATTGCTTATGATCGGTTTAAACACTTGTCAATCATGATTAGCAACACGCCCCATTCTGTGACGTAAGGTCGAACAGGAACATGGCGCTTCCGAGTAGGGATGTTCTATGAGATTTCTACTGGTTTTTTTTATTTAACATAGTTTTTTTTAATATATAAATAAATATTATAAACGATGATAGAATACGAAAGGTGAACCATCATTTTGGACCAATGAAAAGGACATTTGTCAGCGGTGTTTGCTATCGTCCGCTGATATTGTTAGCATTACCATACTAGCTAAAGGTAGCTGGCTAACAGCTAGTCGCCAAACAGAACATAAATGATGCGTGCTAATGAGGCTTACCATGACGACAAACTGACTGAAATCAATGATTAACACTCTCAATTTGCGTTAAAACGGACAGTTTTTGTTCGGACAGACGTTAGGGGATACCTAACCTTTGGCGAGCTAAGCTATAGAGGATGAAGAGCCGCCATGGATGTGTTTTGTCGCTGGCTGCCGGGGTTTTTCTACTGGTGTTGTGGACGTGTGAAGGTGCCCCCCTCCATCATCCTCACAGAGCAGGTAAGACAACTGAAAAATAGTTTATGAGATGCTGTGATACCACATGTTTTAGTGATAAATCGTCGTTGCTGACACTGATAGCGTCGGCTAAATGCTAATGACACAACAACCTGCTAATCACTGCTTTCACTGTACAGGTGCTTTTACTGTTGTTTGCTCACACATTAAAATAATCACAGTTTTGTTTTGTCTAAATGAGTAGGTAAATGTATGGAGCGAAACAATGATTGCTTTGACTTCCACAAATGCTTACTGATATACATCCACCTAGCAGTGCTCATTAACATTTATTTACCTGTTCTGGTTTACAGTAATAGGGATTGAAGTGTAACACAGTGTAACAAGGCATTTTCCAAGGAGCAGTAATGCACATGAGTTAATATGTTACATCCTGCACTGCAGGTACACAGGTGGATGAACCTGTCAGTGGGATTGGTTCACTCTGACACATAATCAGGTTTTGAGGACAATAGAAAGGATGTTGACTCACCTGCAAGTAAAAACTGAAATGTATTTTGATGCGAACACTTCATCTCAACAGTCATGTTTATAATGTTTACCCACGTTATAGTTTTATCATTTTAGAAGATTTAATTGATCCCCAATTTGTTACATATAAATTCATATTAATTCTAATGTGATGATTACATTTAATTATATAAATTATATATAATCTACACATATAGTCTACAACCCAGCAAAATAAAATGATATGAAGATATATACTGTGCTTTTCAAGGTTACTAGCATATGTCACGAATGATAACATGACCTTATAAAATGCTAATAGAAAGAAAAAATACGCTGAATATGCATAAAACAGCTTCAGATTACCCTGTGGTGTGACTTGCTAAAATGTGACACTAACACATTCCAATCTTATCTAAACCAGTTAATGAATAACAAAAGGGGTTGTTTGCTTAATCATAACACAACGTACAGGCAGGTGATGAGTCTAGTTTTTATGCTTTTATTATATAGTATAATCTACTATATCCTGCTTATTTTGCTCCTTGTGATTCTTTTTACCCAGGCACTATAGTGAACCACTTTACCTTTTGTTGCAGGTTGTAGGAATGATCTAATGTTTACAATAATAACTAAACTTGTCACACTTTCTGGGTTAAAGGTAAATGGTTCTTGTTTATTGGTAAGTCTTTACCTGCAGTTAAGGCCAGGCTTAGTCAAGTCCAAGAATACATTGGCTGTATTCTCGCTCTTTACTCTTCAGTGATCATTGTTCCCAGTCACAAGGTGCTGCTATGACAAAGCACGTCTATGTTGCTGTCAGAGGACAAAGTGCTTCAGCCAGAAGCTGTCCCTCTGTTTCTTTTACAACCACAAACATAGTGGTTTTTACATTACAGTGTTTAACAAATTACAACAAATTAAACTTTGACAATTACAGTGCACCTGCTTTGTTTGGCTTAATTGACATTCCAGAGTGTCAGTATTGAATTGGGATGTTCTGCAATTAAGTTGGCAAAAATTGTCAGAAATGGGTCAGCTCCTCCTCTGCATGGATGCCTAATAAAATATGTGGAGGGACCAAAATAAAACCTGGCAGCTTCCTGCAGTATTTGTCCCAATACCAGTTGAGTCATGTGGTGTTGCTTGCCAATTCATAATACAAAATGATTTAGATGAGACTTAACACAGGAGAAGGGATACAATGTAAAGTGGCCATAATTGATAACAATATTTTTATGTCTGACTGATGCTGTAATGTCTCTGGGAGTTAAAGGCAACATTTTACTGGGTTATGCAAAGTTAAGCTTGTTGTTACTGTTGGTTCTAATATCTGTCATCAGCAGCAGACACTGTTTTCTCATGTTATAAATACACATTGTGATGTGGAACAGCCAGATTCAGTCATTTAGAATGTTTTTGATATTAAGAAATGGAGACCATGTCCAACTCAGTGGTATATATTTTTTAAATGAATTGACCTAATTGACAAATAGCAAAGCCCAATATAAGCATGTGGAATTGACCTAATTGACAAATAGCAAAGTCCAATATAAGCATGTGTAGATAGTTTATTTTTCAGTTGTTTTTCTCTATCCTCACCCATGTCTTTTACAGTTGAGAAACCTGTGTGGTACTGTTGTTTCCACTTTATTCTTGCTTAAGAAACATTTTATTTAAACTTTTTAAATAGGCAGTGCCATCAAACGTTTCCTCCACCGGGTGTTTTCAGACTCTGGACTCATTCAATCTTTGTTTCCTCTTCTCATTAATATTTCACTGCTGACTGTGTCAACCTTCCAGTCTCAAACACAGAGCAGTGTCTGTAGGGCATCAGTGAACGAGTCACAGGTGCAGTCTGAAACTCACTCAAACAATCAGAGAACTAGATGAAGTGGTATCTTCTATTTTTGTCAGTACAGCCTGTGTGAACTGTTGCAGACATGATATGAATTCCAATTATAGCTGATACTTTAAGTGAATCATATCTAATGCTCCCTGTGGAGTTTAATGATTACTGTTCATCTCATTTACCCTCTAATGGGTTTTACTCTTTGCATACACCTCCTGTTTATGAGACTGGGACTGTGTGGTGGAGAAATCACCACTCAGCGTCTTTGGTGTTGGATTAATTATCAAACCTCTCCAGGTTCTTATCACTGTCCGCACTTAAGCTCCACAGCAGGTCTTATATTTATATCCTTTAGTAAACCATTCAGGTGTGTACAATGCTGTATAAACCCCCAAAAGACACAACATAATTTTACACTTGCGATATCCACTACAACTATCCACTATATCTACTTCTAGACTAAGGACCCCCCACCCCCAAACATATTTATATTCAATCTTGCATCAGAAGCTTCACATTTCGATTGCGTTCATATACATTTATATAGGTCTACACAATAGAGAAGGTATAAATACACAATAAAGACATCAAGGTGCTGCGGGTTCCATCATACGTATATCCCAGAGGAAAGAACTATGTCTTTCAGAGATATTTTTGCCAGGCAGTAACCTACATAACTCTTGTCAAATGGACAGTTATGTTTGAGCAGTGACATTTGAAAGATAAAGGAAACAAGGTGGAATTGCAGCAAAAGAGCACGGTGACAGATTAAGTCCCTCGTATCAGATGTGTTGGGCTTTGGTCAGAAAAAAACTACTGAGAGTAGAACTGCCAGTCAATCTGAACATCCTTGGAGCAAATACTTTCATCCTCAACATGTAATACTTCTTTTAATGTAGATGTTTTTGATAGGAGTTGAAGAATGTGGTTTCTGGCATCAGTGCAGTGATGAAGCCTCAGCTGAGCATAAAGGTGTTGTCGTTGCAGAGCTGCTGTCAACCCTGACACTATGCTGGGCCAGCAGCAGCCACGCTGTCACCACAGCTGCACCATCAGCTAATTATCAGCCAGTGGAAACCCCTCGCTGCTGCTTTCCTTGAGATCTAGAGTTTGTTTTGTTTGGACTGACACTACATGTCATGTCATGTGTTTAGTTGTGCTAGCATTATGTCCTTCTTATTTAGCTTCGCACTTTCTATGTCTTTCCAGAGCAGTAAAATAAAAGCACTATACTGTAGTATTTTTGGAATCAGACTTAAATATATAGTACCTACATTGTAGGCCTGCTTTTTGACAATTTCTGCTTCGCTGTGGAGCAACCGTGTGCTCCAAGATGTCACCTCCAGAAATAGAATGTATTCTCTTTTAGGTAAATTAAGTGAAAGTGAATTAATTGTCATTGTGATAAAGCACATCACTGCACACACAACAAAATGTGACCTCTGTTTTTAACCCATCATCAAAGGGGAGCAGTGTGTGGGGAATTCATATTTAGAACGCATCTGTAATGAAGTTGACGTTTTTTGTCCGATGACAGATGGAAGCACTGGAGACACTTGGTCCGTTTCTCTCTACCTGTCCCTGGTGGTGTCTCTGACGGCGCTGGTGATCTTGGTGGTGGTGTTGTTGAACTGTGTGACCTGCTGCAAGGAAAGAGAAATCAACTTCAAGGTCAGATTCCTGTTCAGTATGCACCTACACTGTCAAAATTCAACTGGTGTAACAGCTAAAGGAAATAGTAATTTAATTAAAATTGCCAATTTTAGATTAACAAAAAACATGTTTTTATTTTCTCTGCCAATTTTAGATTAATTAATTTTAGTTACAAATTTTAATTAATTTGGAATTTAGTTACATACTCTTAATTAATAGTAAGTATAGAATCAGTATTGTTTTACCCGTTTGTTGCTACTGTCAACTTAACTGTAACTTTGCTTTGTGTAGGAATTTGAGGATCACTTCGATGATGAGATTGACTTCACACCACCAGCCGAGGACACACCTTCTATGCACTGTCCAGCTGAGGTCTACACCCTTGCCGTGTCCCCTGTGGCCCTGCCTGGGCCTCCACATCTTCAACCTCCTTCCCGAGTCACAGGTCAGACACACACACACACACACACACACACACACACACCGACACGCACACACACACAATTACAGGCAGACTGATCTATGTGTCAGATGTCATTTGAAGCTTCATTTCACTTATGCTTCTTCATCCTTGGCATTGACAATATCTGTTTTGTGATTGGTCTCCCAGAAGGTTCCACCGGCTCCCAGGTTGCACGTCATAATCTGAGTTACATTCAGGAGATTGGCAATGGCTGGTTTGGACAGGTATTTGAACTCAGATAAAACACTAAGCCCCACTCTGATGAGTCTGATTTTTCTTTTAATGATTGATGATTAAAGTATTTGTAGTATAAAAAACTTTTGATCTTATTAACAGGTGCTCCTGAGCGAAATCTACACAGACCCTGGTGGAACCAGAGTCATAGTGAAGGAGTTAAAAGCTAATGCAAGTGCAAAGGAGCAGAATGACTTCCTGCAGCAGGGAGATCCGTACAGGTATCTGTATTTTCACTCTCTGATCATTGGAGTTTGACTAGGCTTGTAAAAAGTACACTACTGTAAAAAGAACGTTTTTATTATTTTAATACATTAGTTTAATGGGTACAGTGCCCCCTACCTTTGATCATTAACATTGCATTAGATTTCATCCCTGTTGTTGTTTTGTGTTCAGAGTGCTGCAGCATCCGAACATCCTTCAATGCCTCGGCCAGTGTGTTGAGGCCATTCCCTTTCTGCTGGTCTTTGAGTACTGTGAAATGGTGAGTGAACACACACATTCTCTGACTGTGTTTGTGAATGGCACAGTAGCAGATGATTTTTGTGAAGGTCTCGATATTTGCACATTTGCCTGATGACTTAGAGGTGTTTACTCACTCGCTGCTATTTTATTGCTTTCTCATTCAATAATAGAGAAATGTGAGAGTTCACTCTTGTCATTCTGACAGGCTCACAGATACACAGAGCCTGACCTTTTTTTAAACACTGTGCAGCCTACATGATTGTCAGCCCTGCTTTGGTGACTATCTCCACTGCAGATCCAGACTCTCACATAATGAAATGACTCAGACCTTGTTAATGCAGCTTTTTTCAACCTTTCCTTTATCCTGCTCTGGGTAGCACTGTAGCTCCCTCCTCCTTCCCTGCCTCCCAGCCTCCTACGCGGTCTCCTCTCCACACTTCTCCTCCTCCTTCTGCTTCTCCTACACCTCCTCTGCTGAAGTGGCATAGCTAGTCTAAGCCTGGGACTTCTCACATTCCCACCTCGCCAAGTAAAGAAACTGACTCCACACTCCCCTGGTGTCAACTGCACCAGTTGCTGTGTTTGTGCATTTTTATAGGTTGCATCCGCTGTACTTCGACGACTGTTGGCTTCGGTTTAATGTAAACTAATTTGGAAACCTATTGGTACATCACAGATGACACTGCTGACTAAAAATATACATCACCTCAGTGTCTAGTCCATTTATCCTAACAGTTATGTAGTTGTACAAACAGTTTATAGTATCTGAAGGTTTTTGTATTAATGTCTCGCAATCAGTTTGGCAACAGGTAATTAAAAAAAAGATATTATTGTTCATCTTGCTTTGAATTATATATACAATCAACAGACTTATTATATAGAGATGTTCCAGTATCTTCTGCAGGGGATTTTATACTGTCTGGATACACATTTTTCTTTGGAGTGTTCTGACAGTTTACACCTCCATAATGATGACAGCAGGTATTTGTCCTTTGTGCTGTCTCTCTAATTCTAGAGGTAGCCTTGACTGTCTGTCTTCAAATAGGAGGTGAATAATAAAGAGTTTTTACTGAAAGTTAAATAGTGTGATATCAAACAGTCCTTAAATCAAAAACTTCTGAACTGCAAATCTGTACCAAGAGTGCCTGGTCAGTCATGAAAATCAAAAACTTCTGAACTGCAAATCTATACCAAGAGTGCCTGGTCAGTCATTCTGAGTTGAGCAAATGGAATTTGTGGATCAGAAATATTTTATGAATCCCTTGTGGGAACATTGTTGGTTTTGTAGCTGCTCCTGCAAGAGCCTGGTTAGATAAGGAGGAGGAAGAGGGAGGTATTTGTGGGTCAAAGGTCAATCACACAGGTTAGGTCATTATATTTCAAGTCAACAACAAGGAAGGAAGGAAAATGATAAATTGTATCTGAAATAAATCTGATGAATCTGAAGTTTTTGAATTCATAATGACTTGTTTGCCTATGTTTGACTTTAGTATTGAATTTCTAATATTTACATTGTAGTTGTGACACAAGCATTGTTAGTTGTAACTGTAGTGCATAGTGAAATACTAGTATAATTATATAACACAAAAAGGTGTTCCTGCTGTAACGGTGACACAAACATGTCTATGTCTCCTCCTTGTCCACCCATATGCAGTAAATCTCCTGGTAATGTGTCCTGGGGGATCTAGTCCAGCTCACTCCGTCTTGGCAGACATTAGACATATTTGTCTGGTTTGGACTATTGTCAGATTCCCAGGCCTGGCCTAGGTCCTGGCATTGTGGCCTTTCCCAGCTACAGCTTCACTAATGTCTGTGACATGACATGGAAATGAGTCAAGGTGACTGACTTAACACAAGTGTGTGCAAATCATTAGGGAAGACGGTGCGATGAAGAGCCAGCCCCTGTTTGTCCCAGGCGATAATGTGTGAGGGTGAAACAACTTGTGCTCGTTATTCTTCCCCGGATTAAGAGTTTGGAGGATTTTGTCCAACTAGACCCTTGTCTCACAACACACATGAATTTATAGCCCTTTCAATAATGTTAATGTGTTTCACATGCTTGCTTTTTGGCCATGTTTTGAAGCATAAGACAAATCCTCTGTGGTCTTACAGCAACTTCAGCTCCTGTCCGTCATCTCCTGGATGGTGCAACAGGAAATGGGACACTGCAGCTGTGCTGTGGACAAGATGAATCCCAAAAAATGAACAGACTGTGAGGTTCTCTCAGACAGCCCGGTGATTGATGGTGGTTTTTCCATCGAGTATCACCCGTGCTGGGTAACCCTGACTCAAAGCATTTTAGACATCAAAATACATCAGACAACTGGCGCAGAGGCCACAGAATGTCACATACCACAGTGTGAGTGACGGCCTCCAATGCAGGGATACCCTGCTTGGTGTCTGTCCAGGACATTCCTCAGACGCTCCTCTTATTCAGTGTGTTGGACAGACTTTTCAGAGTTGTTAATAGGGCTGTTAAACCTCCCAGCGTGACGTCGTTACTCTTTGTTATTTTAGTGACATTTACCGAGGTTGACTTTAATGCCCCTTTCTCTGCTTCTGAGCACAACAAGCATTTTAAACCCCCCTGCAGAACAAGTTGCCCTTATGTCATTATTAGCTTGCTACAGGCTAACTAGCCGTTAAAGAAGTTAAAGTCCCGGGCTTGTGGATTATGGTTGATTTATCAACTTGCTCTGTTTGTATTTTACCTGCTAAGTAATTAAGCTCAGCAATAAATCATCCCCCATAAAAGGTTTAAATACATTTATACTTTGTACTTAATGATTAGGTGCTAACTAGTGCAGATAGTTATCTTTGTTTTGGCACAATTTCCCCATTTTCACAGGTCAGATATGAGGCCTAATTGTTTTGCCACTTCACCATTAATGCGGTTTCATTAACAGTGTAGTATCCTGCTGATGGCAGCCACACAGAGTCACCTGCTGCAGAGTCTTCACAGATAAAGACAGGCTCTGGGTGTCACTTACCATACATTGCATTTAGCTCTTCTGTGAAACCCCCACCCCGGGGTCTTCTTTTTCTTCCTATTGGCTGGAGCAATTATAGTCCCCTGATACATTTCTGAATGTCACTGAACTAGTGATAAGAAATTAGAATCTGATCACATTACACTGGTGGTTGGCACTTAGTGGATGCACAGTAACTTAAATGACACCACCGGATTTCCTGATTGGTCAGTCTAACCATTAACGATTCCTTTTTTTTTTCCAAAAAATGCTGTGCCAATAATGATATTAAATAATGATTTAAATAATTTAACAGATTTTTCATAAATAACCAATATTTTTATTTAGGTAGTTATTTAATTAGTTTATTTTTTAAATTTTTCTTACACATTTACAAATTTATTTTGTTGCCATATGGTCTAAATCTTTCAACTTTTGTCTCATAGTCTTATTTCAGTCACTCGTGGTATTCACTATAATAACTTTTATTATTTTGCCGTTTCTTATTCCTATCAATCACTTTCTATTTCTTCTCTCTCCTTGTTTTGTTTGTGTGAGCTCAGTTGGTGACAGGGTGCATGAATTGAATTGCTTTTAGTGCCTCTTTATATCATGTCATGGAGTAAATGTCCATAAAATCATTACACTTTAAGCCTGACTTAGCTGAGATTTAAATAAGCTGACAAATAAAATCCACTTCCTGTGTTGAAGTCCCATTAGCTGTGAGAGGCTTTTGGATGATATTTACATGTTTTCCCTCGTGCTGCACAACGGTTTGTTTGATTTGATTGTATTGTAGTATATTGCCACAAGGTGTGAGTGTGAGCGTGAATGTCTCTATATGCCAGCCTGATGAACGACTGCAAACATATCCAGGGTATAACCCACTTTTCCCAGTGCCTGCTGGGATTGCCTCCACCTCCTTCTGTGACCCCTCAAAGGATATGCCATCATATCTAAAGAATCAGATTTGGTTTTTATCCTAAAGGCTTAAGTACAGCGTGCTGCATGAGATGTTTCTTGCCGATGAATGATAGCTACAGGTGCAGGGACTTTTAGACGGCTTGTATTGTAAAACCTGAGTAATGCTAATACCCTAGTTGTTTATTTTACATTTGATTTGCTCAGGGCTCACTCCAGACACCACAGAAATCTCACGATCAAAACATCTCTTGTTCCAAATTGGTCTTCTTTTATCACCTTCTCACTTTCTGCTGTGGTCTGTCACATTTGTGTACCGACAGGCAACACTGTAATATGAGAATTCAATACCACATTGTGTATGTGCCTTTGCGTACGTGTGTTTGTGTGCGCGCACACGCCTGTATGGGTTGTCATCAGGCTGTTCTTGGATAATTATTTCAGACAGTAATGAATGCTCCTCTTGCTTCCCTTTTTCTTTTGTCTTGACCACTAATAAGAAAGCCGAGCGGTCACAGACAGTTTGTTTTTTTGAGGTGAGCTGGACTTTTATTTATAAACCCTTGTGCCACAGTACAGACATCCAATAAACAGTCCTCCCCTTATTTGGTGCTGTCAGCCAACAGCAGGGAGAAATGCTGACAGGAAAAGGGGAGCACACTGCCCCTTTGTGGCCGTCTTTGCACATTGCATTTAAAGGTGATCCGTTTTTTGGAACAGGGTTAATGTTTGACACTGATGAGCTCATGGAACTGTGTGGTTGTGTGCTTGCAGGGCGATCTGCGGGGCTACCTGTCTCAGCAGGACTGGATGGTCAGAAATGCTGAGCTGCTGCAGCTGCAGAGGATGGCCTGTGAAATCGCAGCCGGTGTCACCCACCTTCACAAGCACAACTTTCTGCACAGGTAGCACCTGAGAATTGCAACTAACACATTTACAGTCCAGTTTTTTACCCACCTCACTGGTTGTTCTGGCCAAACTCATGTTGTCAGCAGTGTCCCCTGGTGTTACGTTTACACAAGACCTAGAGGAGCAAATACATTTTGTTTACTGTCTGCAATCTTTGTTAGTTACTGAAAAATTGCTAAATAGAAATATACACTTTGACTTGACTGTGCATTAAATTTGAAGCAAATTGCTTGCCTTGGCAATTGGAAAATAACATTTCGAAATAATGCCTGCAACGCATGCTGACAAATGTATACAGTGGTAGGGAATGGTATAAAATTCAAATTTATGACATTCTGCGACAATCCATTTAGCAAATTAGCTGGAAATAGTAGTTAAAGTGTCCATAATGTTTTGAGCAGGAGGTGGCGTCATCTGTGGTTAATGCCTTGGGGAAGAGATTTAGAGAGTCACTAGAAATCTCTGATGAGACTGTGACTGATGAGAGAAGCTGCTGCTAAATGTGCATTATTTATATGCCCTAAGGCCAAGTATTGCTAAACAGTACTAAAACAACATGCTGCCATCATATAAATAATCACATGGGAATCTGACAATATCATTTTTTATTGTAGACATAGGACAATATATTTTATTAATGTATTGTTCATTATTTACAATTTTGAATGTTTTATTAGTTTTGGGTCAACCTATGGGGCCAAAAAAAAAAAATCTGTTAGAATTGTTTAACTGAGTTGAAACAAACCTATTTTCTTTATTCAAGTTAATGAAATCCTAAAGTATAGTTGACAACTAAATATATAGTTGTCTGACAAAATTTGATATTTTCAGTCAGGGTTTCTGGGTAGGCTAAAGATTAAGTGTGATCTAAGTGTCAAGAGTCATAAAACACATTGATTGTAAACACTTCCTGTGCGTCAACTGTTGGTTTAACTTTAGTGCTAACTGTCAAAGCCGTCACAGGAGGACTGGAGTTCTCCAAAAAAGGTTTGTGAGACAGAGAGGTTTCATTTCGTTTTCGTTTTAACCTCTGCAAGAGCCGGACGTCTGGCCAGTAGTAGCCAGCCTGGCCTGGGGAGATGGGGTGTTGTAAATGCGTGGCTCTGGGTGTGGGGGTGTGGGTTTAGGACACGATGCGCTGCTCATCAGCTCTATTTTGCATGCTCAGAATAAGCTCAGAGGACTCCAATTACACAGCTCCCACGCATTGCCAAAGTGTCAGCTGTCCGCTGCCAGATGGATATGATGATTCTGCGCTTTGCAAGTAAAGCGATAGCCTTATATTGGTTCTTGTCTTTTAATGTGTGTCACAACAGTAGGATTCTGCGGCTTGTCTTTTCCGTCAGCTAATTAAACATCAACACACAGAAAATACACACATTTATAATTAATTAAAAATAAATGTGATGTATTTGGCCGTAAAAATCTCAACTGTTCAGATAAACAAGTGTCAGCCACATGTGGGAAGATGTAAACAGGAGGCAGGTTGGGGGCTGTGTGGGACGATATCCAAAACTGAAACCTCAGCTTTGCAGTGCACGGGTAAGAATGGCACAGCAGAAGGGCAAACGTGCATTATGTGCCGTGTGTATATCACATAACTCATTCAGAAATCAGAGAAAGAAGATGTAAGATTGTCAAATTTTAAGATTGTCAAATTTAATTTAATTTGAAATAAAATTCAAATGTCATGATTCTTATTCAGTAAAGTAGGAAATACGGTTTTATTCACCTCACTCCAAAGATTCTTATTCAGTAAAGTAGGAAATACTGTTTTATTTACCTCGCTCCTTTTCCAGGACTTTTTCAAAGAAATTCAGATGTTAAATCACACTAGGTTGAACTTTTTAAAAAAAATCTGCCCAATCTTAAACAAACATTAAAAAAAATCAGCTGTGCTGGCATTTTCCTGTAGAACAGCTGCAATTAGTAGCAACAAAAGTTGAACCTAGTGAAAGTCATCATCTTTTTCAAAGACAACACATGCCAGTCCCCACAGTAGCTGTAAAAAAACAGATTTAAATTTTGACATTTGAAAAAATTTAAACAATTGTTCTGCCTGTCTATAAATCTGTCAGCTGTGCTTGTCACGATTCAATTACACACACGGCAAACACGGGTTAACAAGACTTGGAGGAGTCATAATGCAATCATTCATGACTGTCATGTTGTTCAGTGGCAGCTGTTTGGACCAGGCCTGATGGACTAAGGTCTCTTCCTTTATCATGTTCTAACTCATAGTGTCCCTCTGAATGGCAATTTCTTTAGTATTTTAGTTTTTTTTTTACAATCTTTATGAATATTAAGTATGTTAAATATTATGTTGCTTTGCTTTTATATTATTATATTTTTACTTTCCTAATTTGGCTTGTATATGTGGGCTGATATTTCATTTTATATATTGTTTAATACAATTAAATATTATAAATATATATTTAAGTAGTCATAATAAATTAATTTAGTTGAATTCATATGTTGAGGTATGAGGTATGAATAACACGTGTTTTCTAACCGATTACTACAATTAAATAGATTACTACAAAAAAATTGCCTTCTTTCTGTAACTTAGGGCAAATGGATCTTGTTTACAAAACAGTGTTAACACAAACATTTTGTATGCAGTCAGAAAGACAACGCAAGGGTTAAATTAAATGATCATTATTGAGTCATTTGTCCAGCCGTTTGTCCCACTTAAATGTCTTTGGTTTGTGGACAAACGACCACAACTCTAATTAATACCGTAGGTCAAAATATCATTGACACTTTTAAGCGTGGTTTATAAACTGTAGCCAATGGTTGGTGGTTAATTTGGGTCTTGATTCTTGTCCTTTTTTTCCTGCACATCCAGTGAGATGTGTGGAAACCAGTGTATATATCCTTATTGTACAAATGGACCATGTGCACACGAGTCCCCTGACATCAGAGCTTTCACTACCACACAACGTATTAGCCTTCTAGGGTTAAGATGTTGGACCTGTTTCCCTGCTGCTGTCTTGCTGTATACTGGGCTGTGGGCCAGCAGCAAATGACAGCAGGGTCTAAAATAAATCTCCATCCATCTTCCAGAGGTTTCAGTGTCTCTGACAGTAGCTGTGCCATGTGCGGGACTGAACTGCGGTGTCAGCAGTGTTTGTCGTTAGGCCGGCAAATGGGATGTGGAACTTGGGTGCAGGGAATGCCACGGGGCTAATGGGAAACCAAAGCCTGTCTCATGGTACAGTGTGAAGGAAAAACCATATGTTGGTTTAATGTGCTGTGACAGCCTTATAGCTTCTCACAGGCTCTCAACAGTGACTCACAAAAGGTTTTGACGGCTTATGTTTCCCTAAGAATATATCATATCGCAGAATGTACAAGTCAGGAATAGCCTGTGTGTAATCCATCTTGTTGTATGGTAAAAAACTGAGCTGTGTCTCATAGGACTGCAGTCCTCAAAGTCAGTTTTCCTGATTTAACAATTTTTGTATTATAATTTTTTTATTTTTTATATATCTGTCATATCTTGGTCATTCTTGAACAGAAATGTGTCAATTATAAAATACCCTAAAAAAACAAGAATCCCAGTTTCTGAGTTGACGTGTTGAATATAATATTTTAATAATACTTTGTTTTGTTTTTCTCTTGTTATTCTCTTAGTGACTTGGCTCTGAGAAACTGCTACCTAACTGCAGACTTGACTGTCAAAGTGGGGGACTATGGAATTGGACCCTACAGATACAAAGTACATTTTTTATTAACTGGACATATCTTTGATTGTATTTATACAAACATTAACCAAATACATTGCATTTTTAAAAACAGCAAATTGATAATTTCCATTAAGATTATTAGCACCATCTGGAGATATTTAGGAGAAAGAAAACACAGGACTTCATTAATTGCATGCCAGGATGAAACATTTATTATTTTTGATGTTGATAGAATAAAAAATAAGATTTTTTTTTCTAGCTCACATTGGTGTGATATCAGACCCTAGTTTAAAGCCTTTTCTTGCATTAATCTGACTTGTTGAAACATTGATCTATAACCTCAGAAAATATGAAAACAAAAAGTGTAAATAGGACTGATGTTCTCTTGTAAACTGACATGCAGCGTGTCTGTAGGCAGCCCTGACTGGGGCATTCTCAAAATTCTGCTGATCCAAATTCTGCTTTTTTCTGTAAAAGTCTCAAAAGCTGTTTTAAAGTAGGCAACTGGACTCACCTCACCTCTGTAAAGTTTTTAAACGTTTGTACAGGTATTTGCATAGTTTTCATCAATCATTTTTATGTTTTTTACTATAATACCTTAGGAGGATTACATCATTACTGAGGATGATGAGTTTGCGCCTCTTCGCTGGTTGGCTCCTGAGCTGGTGGGTGAGCGACACGGTGGTGTGGTTGTTCTGGAGCAGACCAAACCCAGCAATGTGTGGTAGGTTCAAGACCCCAGCTCTACACTAACTGGTGAATGTCAGAATTACATAATATAGTCGTAAAGAGGGAAGGGTTTGAACTTGGCTGCTGCTATTGTTAACACAACTCTTGACCTGCAGTAAATTTTGAAAACTCATTTGTCCTCAGGGCTCTGGGTGTGACGCTGTGGGAGCTCTTTGAGAATGCTGCTCAGCCGTATCCACATCTGTCTGACCGAGAGGTGCTCAACCATGTGATCAAAGAACAACAACTCAAACTCTTCAAGCCACAGCTAGATCTTCCATATTCTGACCGATGGTGAGTTTCACCAATTGATTGTAAGTTGGAACCATGAGAGGTGCTCAGTCATTTTTGGAAAAACCCTTGTGTTTATTGGACACTGCATGTCATTAGGCTGAAATGTCCATGAGAAACAACCAGACCGGTATCATAATGGAGGGATCATCCTTTTTCATCTATTTCCTATAATGAACACATTGTTTTTCCATACACTTCTACATACACTGTTGCACTTGTCTGTTTTCAGGGGCCATTAAATAAAAAAAGGATAAAAATGATTTTAAAAATAAAAAAACAGCAACATAGAAGCCAGTCTTTAAAATATTTTGCATAACAGACTGGTCTGCAATTGCAGGTATGAAGTCCTGCAGTTCTGCTGGCTGTCTCCAGACAAGCGAGCCACAGCAGAGGAAGTTCACCGCTTGCTCACCTACTTGCGAATGCAAGGCCAGAAGGACATAGAGGAAGATTTTGAGCAACGCTGGGATGCACTAAAGCCCAACCCTTCCACGAGACAGACCACCGTCAGCCATTCCTCTTTCCCAATCCTCGATCAGTTTGCTGACGATGCCCTGCGTCATGAGATTGATGAGGTTCTCACTGTCACTGAAACCAGCAAAGGGCTCAGTTTTGAGTATGTTTGGGAGGCAGGTAGACATGACCACTACGAAGGCAGCCATAATCATTCAGGCATGGACACCACACTGAACTACCACAGCATGTTTTTTCCTGCTTCTAGTGAAGATATTCAGGCCCATTTCCCAGACTCTGCAGCAGGAACTGTGGGTATGGAAGGTGGTCACACACCATCAGTTCTACCTGGTATTGTACCAGTCTTTGACGCACAAAAGCCTTCTAATAGAAACGAATATTACATACAGCTAGAAGAACAAGGGGAGAGTGCAGTTGGAGCAGATGGAAACATAAGACCAAACATAGACTTGCATTCAGCCCAACAAGATTTTGTTGTTCTACAGGACGTCCATCTTGATGAGTCCAGCACTGACGCTGACTTTTTCCACCAAAGCATCGACTCCAAGGATTCTTATTTACCAGACAGTCACATTTGGTCGTCTCTTGAGAATGACAGCCCCTACCACACAAACATTTTTACAGAGGGAGAGTCCAAGCCAGACGACTCCCCTTCCTGGAGACAGAATTTTATGGAGCTTCCCGAGCGAAATGGAAACCCTTTCTATGAAAGTGTATCTCAGGATGCAGATAAAGATAAACTCTGTGGGAACTCTTTTTTAGGGGTTTGTTCCGAAGCCACTCACCTGTCGGATTCTGTGAAAGTGGAGAGGGAGGACGCAGATGTGATGAGGTTTCTGAGCACTGAAAAACTATCTGACAATTTTATGTTTCTCAAAGAACACAATCTCATGAAAGAAGAATCGGTTTTCTCAAATTCACAGCAGAATTTTCTCTCTCCTGGCCTAACCCACGAACCAGAGGAAAGATTCAAAATGAGTTCTTGGGATAACCTTGAGACGTTTGGCAGCTTAAACACAGCAGACACCTATTCAAAATGTGCAGTAAGTGGCACACCGCCAAGACAAGAACCTTTAGACTTCCCAAGTGTGAGTTTGGTGGAGTTTCATGAGTCCTTGGTTGAAAATGATGACACTCTGGTGCCTTCCATTAATGTAATAACGGAGGAAAACATAAGCAACAAATCACTAGTTCAAAATAGTTCTTCCACTGAATACTTTGGTCTGCAGAAGTCCTCAGAAAAAGGTATCGACTCTGGTTTTGATTCTACCTCGGAGAGGTTTGACGTCGTCATCGGTCAAACTGATGACCACTCCCCTGCATTCTCTGAAAGTGCCACTACAGACTCTTTGTGCACAGATGCCAAAATTCCCAGCCTTGAAGAAGACTTTGAAACCTCAAAGGATAGATCTCAGCTTGTTGGATGCGAAACAACTGAGCAACCCGACGTCCAAGCCTTGATTTCACCCAGTGAAGACCTTACAAGCCACGACCTGATGAGTGAACTTCTTGATGATGCAGATATAGAACTGGAAACCACTCTGTCAGACCAGGACGAGCCCTTTATAGACACTCATGGTCAAGCTCCTGTGAGAAGTTCTCTGTTGGTCTCTGGGCCTTCTTTGGACCAGATCAGCCAGGACAGTTTGCTTGAAGACAGCATGTCCCCAACCCTTCCAACTGTAGAGAATTCGGCTGAGACCCCGGACTCTTTAGACTCTCTCGATATCGATCGGCTTGGTGAGCAGGTGGTCGATCTCACCAGCGAAGTAGCTCAAGACAAACTTCAGCCTCCATACAAAATATCAGACAGTGGGTATGAGACGGAGAACATGGAGTCTCCTGAGTGGAATTTTCAACCCAGTGTGACCGTCCACTCTCCAGTGAAGAATGGCTTAGATGTTGCTGAGGGAGAGAAGGAAGATTCCACATTAGCAACAAATTTGGTTCCTCCAGAAATAGTTATTTCTGAAGTCGAAGGTGTGATCAATAATCAGAGTGAGAGTCGCAGTGAGGACCAGCAGCCAGACCCTGTAGCTCCTGCTGAGGAACCACACTCTGGCAGCAGTTACAGAGACTCTGCCTACTTTTCTGACAATGAATCGGAACCAGAAAAGAAGTGTGAAGAACCTGCTCAAGGCTCAGCTTCCACAACGTGGTCGAGTAATACCAAGGATGAAGACAACGTGACTACAGGAAGTCCGCCTTTAGAGGTTAATGAGGAAGATGACGAGGAAGTATCTCATCAGATGGTTTCTGGAGAACAGCCTGAACTTCAAATTGAGGAGGTTCTATTAAAGATGGATTCAGATGGGAAAAGTGAGGAGGAGGAAACCAATGGCCAAAGTGAAGAAGAAAACAAATCAGACCTTTTTAAAGAAGTGTCTACTGGTCAGTCAGTTTCATTAGAGGATTCAGACACCGCAAGTCCACCTCCCTCAGCTACACAGTCAAAGCCAGAGAACACAGTTCACGCTAAACTGACCAGAACGTACGCTAGTGATGGTCACAAAAAGAAAGAGCCCGATATTGAAGGACGTTACCTGGGGAAGCAGGACAGTTTGGGAAGGGATGTTCAGGAGGACCACATGGATGCTGATGAGGAAGACGAGAACAGTGATGACTCTGAGGAGGACGATGTCCGTGCGTACCAGCTCCACAGCACGAGCTCAGACAGTGAGGACGACACTGTGCACACAGTGCCTCTTATCATCTCTGATGAGAGCGACTCAAAGAACCTGCGGAGCTTGCTGAAGCCCACCAGCCTGAACTTTCAGGCATCAACTGCTCCAGTTCCTGTGAAGTTTAATGCAGATAACTCCAGGAGAGCCGTGTCCTTTTTCGATGATGTCACTGTCTACCTTTTTGACCAGGTAAAGTCTAATTTGGGTTTAGGGTTAGAACTTTGTTTTTTTCATCTTCTAAGACTTTCTTTATTAATAACTTACAATGTTCTGTCATGTAGGAGACTCCTACCAAGGAACTAGCTGATCACTCTACAGGCTCAAACAGGGAGATACCAGAGTTCAGCAGCCCAGTGTCCACTGCCAGCTACCTGAATCGCTTCACGAACTCTGAAAGCTCCACAGATGAAGAAGGTAACGACAAACTTCTTCCCAAAACTTTGTCTATTCCCTAATACTAAAGGTCACAGCTCTGGACTCGTCTTCCTTCTCCACAGGTGGTGGTTTTGAGTGGGACGATGACTTCTCCTCCACTGCCTCCGCTTTCCTGTCCAAGATTGACAAGGAGCCAGTATCGAAGGCTTCGCCCTCCGCTCCAACAACCCATTTTTCCTCTCCACCCACAATAACAGCGCGTGTGCTGGAGCCCAGCTGGAGCAGCTCTTCAAACTACTCCCGTTTTTCCATCTCACCCGCCAGCATAGCCAGCTTCTCCCTCACCCATCTTACAGACTCTGACACAGAACAAGGGGGTAAGTTGTGTCCATACAGTACTTCAGAGTGCTTTTAATAAGAACCTAGCATCTAGACCAGAGTCCACCAGCTGCCAAGTTACCACTGAGGTGCTCTGAGCATGGCATCATCCCCACACACTGCTCCCCGGGTGCTTAAGCTGACCCCTACTCACTTTGGTTATGGGTAAAATGCAGAGGTTTGTTGTGTGATGTGGTGTGATGTGGCACAATCACAAGTAGTTCACTTTCCAATTACAGACATTACATATAACAATATATTATGAAATATTCAACAGAAAGAATAAAATTGTTTCAAATATGCGAGGCTGTTGTTAAAGTCACAGCAGTTGACAAACAGAAAAGGCAAATCAACGAAATCCAAACCCATAAAAACTGATAATTATAGGTGGTAAAAAGTATGTATTTATATTGTTGCATACCAGTGAATATATACCAGGGGTGTGACATATTTATATATGCTAACTACTAATTATACCATTTTCCCTAACGGCTCAACATGATCATTAACAGTCAAGTTTGATTGGTTGACTAACTTCTCCTTTCCTTTCCCTCAGGAAGCAGTGAAGACGGTGAAAAGGACTAGTGTGACAAACGGACATTTACTGTCACACCACTGATAAAACCAAGGTACACTTGCACTTTTGAGGAGCGGATGACGGTTGAAGGAGGTCGAAGGTCACAGGTGATGGGCTGGGGCGGGGGGGACTCCAAAGGCTTATTTCAGGCAGAACTGTGCAGAGTTAGAGAGTGAAGTCTGTGGTCTGACCTATGAAGTCTAGTTCCAGCCTGGGCAACATCACCTCCACAGCTACATCAGTGGATGTGATTTCATTTTAGTGCAATGAGGGAAAAAATGAATAGTTAAAAAAACACATCTAACTTCTAATGGTTTGCTTTAAAAAAAAGTCTTTTTGAGCTCATTCCAAGTGTTCGGTTGCTTATTTTTGTCATGTGTCCAAATGCACTGCTACTAATAGACTTTTTAAACAAACATACAAAAAAAATCTTTCTATGTTTCTCACTTAATGAACACCATCAGCTGATAAACTGGACACTGCAGCCAAGTAGAAATAAACCTGAGTCTCAGCAGAAGTGAAACTGAAGCTACAGTTACTTTACAGTAACTTTACAGTTATACTTTACTGCAGCGTCGTTGTCATTTTGCGTCTTCATGTAGTGCAGATATTTCAGTGGTGGCCTTTTTGGACCGTCTCAGTCTCAACATTTTCATGCGGTATCCTTCTGTAGCAGCCAATGAAAAAGAAGGGTTGAAGTGCAGGAAGTGTCCTCCATGAACGGGTTGTTTGGACAATTTTCTGGCAGTAGTTTCACAGTTTGGAGATGTAATTTGATGAGGATTGTTATATAAATCTTTAAAAGAGATGTAATTAATTTTTTAAGCTTAAACTAATTACTTATGTTGTCGTGATTTATTTTGTGCGCTGAAAGGTGCAGCGGGCTCCTCGGGCCGTTTTGTATTATCACCATCACTGGGTCTTATCATATCACCGTCCTTAATGTTGTGAAGACAACTTTAACCGTCATTGCACGATGTTCAAACCACACATGAAGTCAGGCCGTTGTACATAGAGTGAAACAGGAGATTTTATTTTTAAACGTCAGAATTAAGACATGTGTTAAACTGTTTGTAAAGAGAAAAAAAATCATAATAAGGATAAGAAATTTGCAGAGGAGAGGAGGCAGGCTAATGGATCCACATTTCTAATGTTAATGTGCAGGGATTTAAGGCTTAATTTAAGGAAAAAAAACACTACTAGAACAAGAAAGCTGCTGCTTTTTATCAGTGTCATGACCAGAGTGTCTGCCTTTTTTAAAACTCTGTGTCAAACTAAATCTATTCACGTTAAGAAAACCCTTTTGAGCATTTCGTCTTCTTTAATGTTTGCTGGCCGTCGTTTGTCGTTGTGGCTACAGGGAGGTCTGTGTACAGGTTTTTATTGTACAGCTGTAAAAAAAAATCAGTTATTTGAATCTGTAAGTTATATAAAAAAATCTGTCTGGTACTTTTGTTTCCTTCACTCAAACATCTACACTCTACTCCTTTACTCCACCTGTGGTAGACTAATGCCCTGATAAGGAGGCACTGTACCGTAGACGATGTTTAAAAAAACCAGCAGCCTGTGCTTCAGTTAAACTTGAAAATTTATTTAAGGAAATAATATTTTATTTGACTACAGTGTCCATTTTGCTTAATCTTGCACATTTTTGAGAAATGAAACTTAATGTTGAACTATACTGATGTATATAAATGTTAATTTTTTTGGTCTGTATATGGGAAAGGATGTAATTGAGTTGTAGCGATGAGTTTTCACTTTGTAACTTAAAGCTGAGTCGATCAGAGGAACATATCACCGTGGGCGGCTCTAAAGCAGTTCAACTAAGACCTGGGAGTGGACGTGAGTTTGTTCTGTTCTTTAATCTTGTAGATTTACAAAAAATCAAATATTTTTACTTCATATTGTTCATGCTATGTGTAATTGAATGAGATGTTTATAATTACACTGTTTAATATGAAAATAAATGCAAATGGACTTCTAAACTGGGTGCTTAGGTATTTCCGTGTGTATTTTAAGTCTGACTTTTTACTGTTTTTACTGTTTGGCCGAGATGAGATGGTGCCCATGAGAATGTTCTGCAGCGCAGTGACTGTGTGGACGTAGGGAGGAGTGGGAGCAATATTGGAGAACATCATCTGAGAAGACACAAATGGAAATGTAAGCTTCAGAAGAGTTGCTATCTGTGATGCTTTCCACAGTCCAGCTGACCTACTTACATCTGTAAAAGAAGACGCTCCACCTATCCAAGTTCCCACGGAGAGACTTTGGCACACAGAGAGCTGCTGGAAACTATCACTAAAACATGACCAGATCGTTGCAAAAGTCAAAGGAAATAGAGACGACCACACCATGTCAAGATGCATCACCTTTGTCAAGAAAGAACACCTACTGGGGACCGAGGAGCTCAGCTTCACATCAGTAGATCATGTCCTGCATCACTGATGCTCTGTAGCAATTGCACTGCTGTCTTACCTGGACCTAACTGCCCCCCTGGGAGGAGATGATGCAGAAGGCAAAGACCGCAGAAGTCAAGATACCATATTTTCCAAGTCTGGTGACGGACCAGCCAAAAAGGAGGCGAAGCTTCTGGATTCAGTGTTGAGGAGTCAAGTTCTGAACCTTGTTGAACTCTGATAGCCTGTGTGGTCAGAGATGGAGTTTTCCCAAGTCTGGTATGAAATGGTGACAAAATGTTTTTCAGTCTTTTTATTTCACACTTCAACGCCTTTCATAACTAGTGCAGCGTCATCACACCGACGTCTGCTGTGCTGCTTCAACAGTCGTAGCACTAACATGAACAGGTAGACCTTTCTGATGGGAAGAACTTTTCCTTATTGCAGGAGCATGGAGAGGTATTTTTTCATGATACAAACTGGACGTGTTACATAGTTTTCACTGCACACTACTGTATTTTTTTTACTGAGTAGGAATTTCTTTAATATTCACAGTCCATTTGTAAAATTCCTCATATTCAGGAAAGATTGTCCGACTACTTGTAGGTTAAAAATCACTGCATTGCAATCGTATGTCACAGGCCTAAAACATAAGGAAGAAATTCAACAGTTGTGTGAGAAACCCGTAGATAAATAAATAGATAAAGAAATAAAATCACATGCAGTTGCAGTCAAAACGCAAACAAATCCTACTGTAGAAAGAGTTTAACTACAGCGTGTGAATGTTGGGTACCAAACCTCATCCTAGCCCTTTACAGGAGCCCCGTTCTCTTGTGATGTCACCCGTCGCCACAGGTGAGTGAAGCAAACACATGCACTTTCCTCACAGCATTTGTGCTTCCCATAGTCTCAGAGTCTAACATTTCTCTACAGATCAAGAGTCCCACGGGAGTGAGCTCAATGTGCATTCCCCTGACGAGGAGACGAACAGATCCAGGCACAAACAGGGATGGGCACCTGGAGCCGTGCTACACTCCAACGGCGTTCCCGTTTACTTGTGATGGGATCCGTCGAGGAAGCGGGCTGCGTGGAGATCCAGCCGCTGCGGGAAGAGAACCGCGGGGAGCCTCTGCCGAGTTCCCCCTCACACTGATGTGCTCCCATCCCCCCTGCAGGAACAAGGACACAAGGGATGGTAATGTAAGTTTGATATTTTTCTTAACTTGGACTTTTCTCTGACTTTAGTTTGTCAGCTTTTAGCTCTGATTAAGTAAAACTAATTTAATTTAATAACACTAATTAAATTGAATAAAATACCTTGCACGAAACATGACTTTGTTAAACTGGGAATGTAAATGACTTTGAGCCATTACCCAGTGTGAAAAGCTTAATGCTGTTAAAAAAAAACCTGCAGATTTTTTATTTTGCAAAGATTAGGTGTGTTACAGTCGATTCCAGATCCATTATTATTGGCTGGATGTCTAAAAGCATTACCAATAAAAACACAGCCATGGAATCTCTCTTAGCTTCTAAAAGTCTGGAAAAGGGCCTGGAAAATTCCTGGTTAAGAATATTATATTGTTCAAAGGCCACAACTGACCCCCGGGCCAGAGTTTGGGTAATAAACTTACCCCTATACCGTAGTCCCAGGTCTGGCCCTTGGACTGCACAGGTCCCACCCCGAGCCTGTGGCAGACGGCTCCTGCAGTCTCAGCAGGGAAACCTGGAACCTTGTCTGCTATGATCCAAACCTAAAGACCACAGTCAGAATAAAGTTGTATCATTACCGGGATTAGAGATTCTTTTGTAAAATGATGATGCCTTAATTTCCCTTAATTCTATTTATAACGTCCTGTCTCTCTGATGACAGTGGTCCTGTCAGACTGGACTCACCTGGTCCAGTGGTCCTATAGAGACCTTTGTGACGTTGTTGGAGATGAGTTCCCAGGTGGAGCCCTGAGGGTAACTGGGAGTGACGCCCTGTCGGTACCACAGGTTATCTGCAGCACAGTAGACGAGGAGAAGACATGTGAGTCAAAAAAAATGTTTTCATTTTAAAAGGTGTCAAATTTTAGTAACTTTAGTAGCATCAACAAAATCAGAAAACGTTTTTTTACAGTATTTGAATGGAATCCTGTTACAATTATTGGGGCTTTAAAACAGGTATTGATTGGTTGTCAAACTTACAGTTTTCATCCACCGTGAAGACAGATGTGCGACCCACCGACAGCTGCCTGAGTGTCTGTCTGGGAGGAGAAGGGATGTGGTACCAGCATTCTCCTGTAGGGGGACACCAACACTGGTTAATATGCCTGTACACTAGCACTACTGTTCACATGACATTTTTTACCTTTTGTGATGAAATAATTGAATGATTTTTACTTCCTTGACTCACCTGCAGGGTTTTGTGGGGACACAGAGCCTCTGTAGAATACAGACCCATCTTTGGCGATGGCCCACACCTGGTTGGCTCCACCGAAGGAGATGGACTTAAAGGGCTGATCTGTGCCGACGTGAAGCCAGGAGCTGCCCTAGAGTGAATATATGTAGGTGACTTTCCTATAGCTGAGTTGCTTAAAACTTAAAGGCAAAGTCTCAAAAGCAATTTCAAAGTAGGCAACTGGACTCTCCTCAAGTAAGTTGGAGACATTGTCAGCTTACTTGAGGAGGAGTCCAGTTGCCTACTTTAAAACTGCTTTAGAGATTATTATGATCTGGATGACTGGGGATATTCACAAGTATTAAAGGCAAGTAATTATCTAGTTTCTAGATATTTCTATATTTAAATGTTTTATATACTGTTTTACATTTTGTGGTAACTGTGTCTGTTGATTCTGAAATAAAGGACAAGCTCTTTGTCATTTTCAGAAATTTCTACTCTTTTTGTTCTCTCTTGAAAAATTGGTTTAGTCGAAATGAAGCTAATAATTGTTAATCGATTAAATTAAACACAAAGTGATACAATGGGGCCACTTGGACCCGTCCCGACAAGCTTTCATCTCATAGTAAATAAAGTAAATAAATCCCCTTTTCCCCTACGTTTGAATTTTAGGAATAGTAAAATAAAAAGGTTCCTCACAGCTGGTTCCTGAGGGCTGACTCCCAGTCGACACAGAACATCTCCCTTGTCGCTGAGGGCCCAGACTGGGACGTGCTCCATCCTGCTCTGGGCCAGACACGGCATCAGAGAGACGTCACTCAGTGGTATGGGCGGGACCTGCTGCCACGGACCTCCCAGTGTGATCTTACACTTTCTGTGGACCAAACATACAAACCATTTAATGATGTACTTAAATGTGGACAAAGATCTGCAAAAATCATATGTGTTTTTTACCTCATCCATCTTCTGCGCCTGACAAAGTCTTTTATTGTTTTGTGACCGTGAAATGTGCTGCAAAGGAGGGAAAAAAACACAAACATCAAACAAATCTTTTTTTTTTTTAAATGTTACATTAAGAATAAGTTTTGTTTTTTTTAAATGTTACATTAAGAATAAGTTGTTTTTTTAAAATGTTACATTAAGAATAAGTTGCTACTCACACAGGGAAGTCTGCAGCGTACTGCCAGCCTTCTTTGTCTGTCCCCCCAAAGACGTTGTAGTCCACAGTCCACTCCGACACCTGGACATGTTCAAGTTACTAAAATTTGTGTGATAAAAAAGAGAGGATCGATGTGAGTAAAACACTTACCCAGGACCACTGAGGGGAGGGTGGGTGGGTGTTGTCTTTGGTGGACTCTCTCAGCCCACTTTCATCACTCCACATGGGCCGGTCTGTGGGCAGTCCTCTGGAGAAGTGAAAAGGCCAAGAGAAAAATTAAAATCCAGCCAATGACGACAACTAACATTTATAAATGATTCTCACTTGTCTGTGTATCCAGTCATGGGGTTCCATCGTTGGTTCTCATACACGTGAACACTCCTGACATCAGTCTGATGAACAGCATCTCCTGCACAGAACATTTATGAGTCAGTGCCAAAAAAAATACAGTAAGTGAGATTGAGTTAGCTCAGATTTTTTTTTCTTTTCTCTCCACTTTCATGGTATTAAAAAAATGTATTGTAGAATGAAATGTAAGTAACACATTCTATTCCTACACTAGGTTTTAGTATGACGACTCTACTACATATTTTAACTAAATAAAATTCACTCTTATCTGTGGGCAGGTTTACCAGATGTGGGCTGCTGCCCATAGTGCCCACTGTAGACCCAAGCAGTACCGTCCCACCCGATGCCCCACACCAGCCCCAGACTGTTAGACTCTACACAGCGCAGGTGTCCTGGGACCTGCCGCCAAAACCTGTACCACACACACACACAAGGCGTAAGCAGTGTGTGTTAGTGTGTTAGTAACAAACAGAGAAGCTCAGGACAGAGCTGGAGGTTAGCACGTTAGCTGGATTTATGTTAATGAAAAAAAAAACCAAAAACGTTTACTTACATTTGGTCACAGGGAAGTGTGTTTGCAGTGGTCTCCAGGGAGAAGGACGGCTCATGAACCATAATGTCTCCTTTGGAGGTGGTGGACCACACGGCCTGTCGGGACGGTGGTCCTGTGATTCCACGACTCTCACAGCAACAGTCGGACAACAGGCACAGCTGTTCACACAGTGTTTGTCTTCAGAAACACAGCAGTCCCAGTGATGATGTTCATTGTACTGTGTCTTGTTTTACCCAGTCATTCATGTCCTTCTCCGTCTGTGCTGCCAGGACCAGAGGCCACCTGTGTTTGGTCCTTTGTGCCGTGTACACAGCAAAGGAATAGTGACAGTCCCTGGGCACCGGTACCAGCGCCGTCATTTCACTTATGAAGACATGAAGGTACTGGAATGATGGAGGCAGAGGGAGGAGTTAAATTAATCAAATAAAAACACAGATGATGAAACTTCTTCTACATGTGTGTGTGGAGTGTCAAGACTAACCTTTTTCTCACCGTACTGTGTGTAATAGACAAAGAAAATGCTGTCCTTCCTGCCGTCACACCTGGTGGACTGCTCCAGAGCTACACCCACATCCACCCAGCGCTGAGGTTTCCAGTCTCTCCACCAGCGCAAGGAACCTTTACGCACCCACACGGACTGGGGGAGAAAACAAGATGAGATGTAACGAATGAGGCTACATGAGTTTAACACTTTAAAAACTTCATAATCCAGTAAAATCTGGAAGTATTTCAGAACGGCTCTCACGTTGCTCCTCTCCAGCGGCTTCTTGCTGATCTGCTCTCTGTGATCCTGCTGCTGCTGCTGCTGTTTGCTCCAAGCTGCTGACTGAACTGGAGTCAGCGACAAAGAGCTGGTGAGAAGACCTGACAGACAGACATACCAGTCAGACGTTCAGACAGACGGACAGATGTGGAGACAGACACAGATGGACAGACACGGAGAACATGAATATCTACACAGGAAACAACAGAAAGAAACAGACATGTGGAGTAAAACATTGAAATAACACTGAAATCCAACAACACCACGAGAAAACCAACGATGGTAAACACACCTGTGGGACTGAGCCAGCTGATCTGTGAACTTGTGTCCACGTCACAGCCTCCACCCGAAATCCAGGTCCACGCCGGACCATCCTCCTCCCCGACACCCTGAAAGGTCTCCAGGGTCTCCAAACTGTAGGTGGCAGCAGCGGCGGCTGCTCCGCCCTCCGTCACAGCAGGCCCCGCTCTCTGAGCGTTCCTACCTGCCTCTGCCCCCTCCAGGTCCACATTCATCCAGGGGACGTCGTGGCCCACAGGCTCAGGGCTGGGAAGTAACGTAGCTGGAGCTTTTTCCTCAACCTCCTCCTGTGGAAACTCTGTGATGGTGGGCTGAGATGAGGACGTTTTGTCTCGGTCTGAAACCAGGCTGTTGATGAAGCTGTCGCTGGCAGGGATGAAGGGTTTGGGAAGCTCCTGTTTGGAGGAGGAAGGAGCATCGTCTGCCTCCAGAGGAGACGTAGGAGTGTCTGCTCCACCTAAAGGGACGACAGAGGGAGCTGCCGCCTCCAGGACCGGGGTGTCTGTGGTGGAGTTCTGTGGATCAGCGGGGCCGACCTCTGAGTCCGAGTCAGTGCAGCTGAGGACCGAGCCTTGTGTGGCCTCGGTGAGCTGACCGCCAAACTCACAGTCATCTCTGTGGAAGCCGAGCAGCAGATGAAGAGTGAGGGTCCGTGAAGGGTCTACCTGACATGTCACTATGACAACTGAGTTCACCTACACTGACCTGTGGGCTGGAACAACCTCCTTCCTGCTGCCCCACTGGGCAGATACAGGAATCCAGCCATTTCCACTGGGCTCTAACGGAGTTACACCCATTCGAAAGTACAGGCCTCGGTCCTCACCGACCGCCCACACCTGACAGACAGACGGAGACAAATCAGACGAACATGAAAGTCAAGAGTCATTGTAGAAAAATGAGCTCTTTGGATTTCAACGTGAAAGTCAAGAGTCATTGTAGAAAAATTCCAACAAAACATTTTAAGCTTTCAATACTTTTTTTTTTAATTTCCATGACTGAAAAACTGGTCCATAATTTTCCAGGTTTTCCAGGAAGTCTTATAATTACTTAGAAGAGAAAGTCAATCATTGAATAAATAAGTGGATAAATATACCAGATCATCTTATAACTTTTATTTTGACATTAAAACATATACAGGATGCACCGGTTCGACGCGACTGTTACTTTATAAGGACCTATAGTGAAACAGAGTCGCAGCCTCACACCACTGTATCCATAAACTGCAGCCCTGAAATCTGAAATATGGGATATGATGACGACAGCCTGACCAGTGTCTAATTAGGGAGTCACCCATACGTCAGGCCAGTAGGAATATAGACCTGGGATATATAAGGCTGGGCCGGAGCTGCTGCTGCTGCTGGGACAGTGGCTGGAATGCCCTGCTGTATTCTTGTTACGGGGCAGAATCAGAGGGCTGGAGGAGGGTCAGCTGGGGGGTGGGGGGAGTGAGTGACATAAGAGGAGGAGGAGGAGGTGTGAGATATAGGTCTGCAGTGCTAGCAGAGTCCTCACGAGTGAAGCCTCAGGATCGCCTGATTTTTGTGTTTAAAATTCACATCAAATTCAATTAAATTCATCTTTGTCTTCTACAGAAAGTGGTGCCACAGAAAAAGAATTGGGACCCATTGACCTAAAGCTACTGGTGACATTTAATCAAATTGTTAAAAAAAGTTTTATTTTCAACACTGAAGTTAAAGTTTATATAATAATCCTCAACCTGATGCCGTACCATGACTAGTCCTAGAGCAGATTTTTGGAAACATCTTACAACTCTCAACATTTGAATAATAGCTCTGTGTGTGTGTTTGTGTGTTAAAACCTGGTCATTGAGTCCAACATCCACCATGATCATCTCTCCTCCAATACTGATCCAACCTGAACCACAGGGGTTGTGGGAGTTCACACCACGTCGGAACCACACCTACAAACACACACACACACACACACACAGAAATACAGTTCAAGTTCTGACCACAGTAAAGACCACAGTTGTACAGCTGCACAGTATGTGTGGTGTGAATCAATTTACCTTGTAGTCTTTAGTGACCACCCAGACCACACTGACTCCCACTGCTACGTGAAGAGCTTCAATCTCTTTTCCTGGTGACTCAACCTCGGTCCATGACGTTCCTGATAAGGATTTTTTTTTTCCAAAATTGACAAATTGTGAAACACAGCTCTATGACTTTTGACACAAAAAAGAAAAATGAAGGCAAAATGTAAAACTAGTTCTAACCGGTTGGACTGTCCAGACTAAGGCCGGTCCGGACCATGAGGTTTCCATCCCACAGTAAACACCACAGCAGGTCCCCTGGACCAGCCGATAACTGAGACACCTCCTTGGGCACCTCCACCTCCTCCCAGGAGGAGCCCTCTGGTACCCGCGGGTGAATGCCCTCCCTGGGACACACCTGTTTGGAGCAAAGTGTCACAACATCACCCTGAGCTGATGTGAAACAAACCAAACAAAACCGAGTGAAGGACAACGTGCTTAAAACCTAAAGCCTTACTGCCCTCTTGTGGTCAAATACAAGACTAACTTTTTTTAGCTACAAATGAAACTTAACCATGTTTATACTCTGTGTTCTTTTTGACTATTAATAGTATTTATTCTAGAGATTTTTTTAATTAGTATTCCTGATGAACTATTGTTAGCTTCAATAGGCCAGTTAATTATTCTTACCAGTTAATTATTCTTACAATTTCTCCATAAATGACTGACCATGTTTTTGTAGTATAATTACTTAATAGTATTTATTCTAGAGATTTTTTAAAATTAGTATTACTGATTAACTATCGTTAGCTTCAATAGGGACACGTTAATTATTCTTACAATTTCTCAAAAAAATAATATAATTCTCTTTTTTTTTTTTTTTCAGGGAAGCTGTGATCATTCAATTCATTCCACTACAGGATCAGATGACCTGGATGACTGAGAACCTACACAGAAATCCTGGAAACCGTGTCAGTATATGTATATGTATATTGTATATACTCTTTAATTTCGTCTAATGTCTGGAACATTGACTGATACAATAGATTAATCATGAAAATTTGACAAATTCCATTAGATTCAGTGCAGTATTCATATTAAATCAAACTATTTATACTAGTTAAAATGTTATTTTAATTTCATTTTAATCATTATTTTCTTCTTTTTTTTCAGAATTGAACATTTGACACTGATGTGGCCCTCTAGTGGAATGACAGTGGAATGACAGTGGCAGCATTGACAGACCTTACTGTAACTGCATGCAAAAAGATAAAGTCACTGCTACGGTGGACTGACCTGTCCTTGTTGGGACACAGCCCACAGGTAGGGGTACCGTCCAGACTGGTCACTCATCTCCCAGCCCCCACAGCTGATGTCACACAGGGGAAGAGGAGGTTTCCTGGGATGATCTAAAGGAATCTGCAGCAGAACATCGACTAGAACTCTGTCACACCAGCTCTTAACTGATCTGTTACACTGAGACAAACCACGGCATCCAAACCTTGGCCCATGTGCCTTGAGCAATGTATCTCCTGTATCGGATCCAGCGGCGACGGCGGACGCAGGAATTCCATTTCTTGTCAGGGGAAAAGTTGGCGGGGAAATCTACGGCATACTCCCAGCCCTGACAACACAGACCTGGTCAACAGGTTTGTATCTAACTTCCAAAGTAATGGAAGAGTAAAGAAAAGTGTACTTACCCCAGTCTGACTGGGTTCTCCACCGCAGCTCTGATCCACATACCAGTCTCCCTCCCACTCCCAACTGCTGGAGGGCAACTGGAAGCTGTGGAGAGGCTGAGGATTCAGGCCGGTCACGTCACTCCACGGCCAGCGGTCGGTGGGCAGCAGTGTGTCAGTGAAGCCGTCCACTGGGTTCCACCTCTGGAAACACACACACACGGCACTTGAGCAGATGATGACACACAGCTCTCCTCAGTATCTCGTTAGTCCAGACAGACCTGGTTTTCGTAAGTCTCCTCCCGGTAGCGGACGGACGTCTCACTGGGCATGATGTTGAGGTAAACATGGTGGTCACAGCCGATGCCCCAGCAGCGGTCCTTCCCTGCGGTAACTCGCTTCAGCTCCAGCAGTAAGTCGTCAGCACGCTGCCAGCGCTGCCCGGCTGTGGAGAGGCTGTACACTCTGCCGTACACGTCCACGGCCCACAGCAGTGTGATGGGCATGATGGACCCTGGACAGAGACAGAAGGACATGAAGTCACATGATCTGATGACATCAGTAGGAATGACAAATTCAAAACAAGTATCAGAAACTTGATTTAAATTCAAAAGTGAAATGTGACAAAATGTTAGCTGTTGCTCATGTGATCTATTCAGTTAAAAGGTTTAAAAACAATAACATTTTCTAACCTAATATGACCTCACACTGAATAATATGGATTATCTGGAAAGTCTTAGATCAGATGAAAACCAGAGACACTTTGATTTGTTCTATTTTCAGGACATGACGTCAGTTGAGGGAGCTGCTGCCAGTCTCTGAAATTAAAACCAAGATACAAACGGTAAGTCACTGTGTGTGTGTGTTTTATCACTTTACCAATGTTATTTTTGGACTATTTTAATTAATATATTATTGTGTATTATAAACCTCCTAAGTTTTCTTTCCATGAAAAATGTTAGAAATGCTAATAAAGTAATGCAATAGATTAATACAGGATGCAGGTTTCACACTCATTGTTATAAATGGAAATAATCCTTACAAACACTAATACTAGCTGTAGCTAAAGATAATTTTAGGACCATCACCAGCTAAAGTCCAGAGCAACCATGCAGCTACAACAACTAACAGATCATGGTTTACAGCAATTTGTTATCACTTGTTGCAATAATAAAAAGGAAAAGTATTATTTTCCACAGAATAATCTATGAATAAAATCTGAAAAAAAGACCCAGTCATCGAATAGGTAACATCTTACAGATGTTATGGTAAGGCAGGCAGTATGAACGGAAATGTTTTAGTTTGAAAACGCTAACCGGAAGTACATTATGTATCACCACTCTCTGACTTGACACTTACTATGTCGCCTTATACTAATCCGCTGTACGGTATTGACAGTTTATACCGAGGCTAATGGTGACTGAGGCCAGAATGTGAATTACATACGAGTCTCCTACTGGAAACGTGTGATTAAACGATACTTTACTCAGTGACAATTACTGAAAACAGGACTAAATGTCCGGCAGGCCAGAGTTCATGAAGTGTGCGGCAGAAACAGAAACACACACACACATTTGGTTGGACCCAATTTCTAATCTAGTTTAACCCTAAAGTCGTACTAGATAACCTGTAAAATAAGCTTGTCTCTAACTGTAGAAAGATTTTATGCCACTGTGATGATGATTGTTGGTTCTTTAAAAGGCCCACACACACACACACAAACACACAAACACACACACAGCTGATCTCGTGCAACAGCCTACCTGAATATATGGTATCCGATTCTCGTCTGTTAGGAGACTATCAGCATGACATGAGGTGCAGGTGCAGCAACAACAGCAGCAGCAGACAGGGGGCTGCCGAGTTCTGCAGGGGCCACACTGTGACACATTCAACATGCAGGTGGACCATCAGGAGCCTTTAAACACACACCCGTGCGGTCTGACCACCAACAGCTGATCTGGACTCTAAGGTGGCCGCACAGTCTAATCTGTCAATCAAGCTCACACATGCATCCTCCAGACTTACTCAGGTTCGAGCTTCCGTCCTGCTGAGCAGCAGCATCTCTGCAGCACTGAAGTCCTCCATGTTCACACCAACACTGACATGTTTAATTCCCTGTGTCCCTGTAGAGAAGTGTAGCTGAGGAATCCTCCGTGCATCCAACTGCGACTCCACCACAACAGGAAATGGAGGAAACGACATTCTCATTGGCTGAACGCAGACTGGGGGCGTGAGGATCCGCTGCATGTCATTGGCCCATCACTCCTTGTTATTTTATTCCCCCGTCGGCCGCTGCTAATTGACAGGTATTTTCAATAATTTATTTAGCGCCAAATTAATTATTGAAGCGCCAGATTGGTGTTAGGTGTTTGGATACAGTTGGGTGTTTGTGAGCTCAGGTAAACAACTTACAACTAGTTTTATTAAAACATAGTCACACCTTTTGAAAATAGACAATTTACATGAAGGTATTTGTTGATTAATTAGATCACTGGTTCTCAAACTATGGTGCACAAACCTCAAGTGGATGCTCTGTATTACATTGTATAAACTGTGGATAAAGTGAATCACAAAGTTGTTAAATTTACATTAAAAAAAGGTTAAAGAACCACTAAATTAGACCAAGGATATTGCAGGTATACGTACCACATCTGTTCACTAAGTTGATTTTACTCCATGGATATACTACACAAACTCGTGTTTATTTACATTTCACTCTTAGTGTATACATATATTCGGTTGAATGTGACAAATTAAATGACCAAAAATCATATTTGCAGTGCCCTCGGCCACCACTGGGGGTCCTCATAGACCAAGTGCAAATGTGTTTCTACATATTGACCTTTACAATGGCTCCCAAGCAGCGAGGCAAAACAAAACAAAATATTATTCCTTACATAATATCAGTCTGTAAGAATGAAGTTAAATAAAATTTAATAGTGAATTGAAGTGATACTGGTGAATGTTTCAACCTGGCTAAAAGGGTTAGGGCGCTGCAGAAAAAGTTAGTGTTTAACTTCCCTTGTGACTGAGCAACAGACAAATGAGTGAATTGATGAAGTTAAACAGAAGCAGAAGCGCTGCATTAACCGGGCGGCTTTGTGTGCTTTAGTGACTTACGGTTATTGTCTTGTATTCCTTTAAATACCGTTTCACTTACTGTTCATAACCAGTGACCTCATCCTTTGCTACCACACTATTATGCAACACCCTCAGGCCTAATGATGTAGAAGCCATAGTGGTCGCGTTCGGCATCAGTCATAGTAACACATTTCTATCTCTGTGGCAGATCAACACGGTCCCGATTAAGGCTCCTCTCCCTGACCATGACGATCAGTTAGGCAGAGGAGGTGACCTGTGGTCGGTCCTCTGCAGTGGTCACAAGTCGTCGCCGCCGCCGCGGCTGCTGTTTTATTTTGGTGCGCTGTGCCTTTAAGAAGCCCTGACTGCGCACAGGCGCTACAGCAGCTCATCACATGATTCTTCTCTTGTGACAACCCAGACAGAAAGGAAAAGCCTCTGTGACTTCCACCGGACTTTTTCTGACGCTGCGATGACAGACAACTGTTGTGTAAGGAGCAGCGAAGGGCCGACACAGAGAAGGTGGATGGACTTAAAGTAACCAGAAGGACTCGGATCATTCCCGCCTGTGAAGTCAGAGGCACGGGGAAACATTTTTGTTGCTGTTGCGCCGTCGGAGACAAAGTTGGCGCATGGAGAGGGACGAAGTTTCATTTTTGCGCAACGTCTTCCACCGGTTTCCTGCGTGTTTGCGGCCACTGTGTGTCAGTCAGGGACACTCGGAGTGTGGACACTCACAAACTAAGTAACCGGAATTCAGTTTGGAAGGAGACACAACAGTTAGACAGAGCGAGGACCAGACGAGCCTGAGGACGCGCCACCATGGTGGACAGTAAACCCCTGCTCCAGGACAGACCCCCAGCCTACAGCACCGTCCCGGGGGCGTTTGATTACGGCCCGCAGCAGCCACTGCCGCAGCATCAACAGCCACAGCACAGCTATGGTGCCATCCCTGCCGCGGCTCCTCCACCCTACCCGTACCCTGACGTCCAAGGCAAGTAACCGCGCTCATATCTCACACGTACGCGCTCCACATTATTGAAATATCAGAAAAGTAAAGTGAGCAGCTTTGACTAATCGACACTTCCGGTCGTGATTCACACGAAATGGGGCTTTTACTTCCTAGTTTCAGTGCGTCACCGGCTTGTTTTTCTCCAAATGACTAAAAACGCTCGGTGTCAGAGACTGAAGGTTCAGTTGTGAAAATTCAACTCACGCACATGCGCATTATGTCAACGAGGAGTTTAGCGATTTCCACCAATGTTGGCATAAAACTCAAGGGGTACAGAGAACTGCAAAGATCACTCGATTAATCGATGACTAACACGTTATCTTTCGAGTCATCTTTTAGTACGACTTTTGGGCCACGTATTGAAAACTTCTGATTTTTTTTTTCTAATATTTTGCTATCGTGAGCTCAATTTTGGAGTTTTGTTTTCGATTAATCTGTTCAATAGATATCTGTTAACAATTTTCTTGATATTCTTAGGCTACTATAGTGCTTCTATAAAAATGTTTGTTATGTTTTTACTTTTTAAAAACGTCCTTATTTGTTCATTTCTCAGTTAACTTTTTAACTATATTGTCTATATTGTCAAGAGTTAAGAGAAACAACAATTGACATTTCTTCCAAATTAAGTACCAAACTTATCAACTATCAATGTAGTTTTGAAATAGTAACAAAGATGTTGTCAAATAGTTAAGTGTAGACATGAGAAGGCTTTTAGAGCTTCTACAGCCTCGGGCGTTGCACCGTGCGCCTGCTGTGTTTGACGGAGTCACTCATCACCTGACTGTGTTTCTAAAAGAGTGTGGAATGAAGTCAGGTGTCCTGTAAATACACAGAACTTCCTGATTTACTGTTAGCTTAGTGGTGATAAACATTTCAGGGGAATGGACGTATGTGTGGTTCCAAAGTTCACTCAGTGACAGAAGTACTGCTGCAGTGGTAAACAAGTGTAGTTCAAGTGGCCTAAAAGTGAAGAAGAGAAACTGCAGTATCACTACACAATGCTCCCAAAGTTTACTTCAAATTTATGTAACGTCTGTTACATGACAATTATAAACGCCTTGTGGTTCTACATTGTTATAAATAACACTGTCCTAAATTTACCTGAACAAGAAGAGTACAGAACTCAGTCACATGACAGCTGCACTTTAAAGTCATAACTGGAGGTTTTCACAACATTAGAGGAAATACAGTACATTTTTTAGAAGTAGCTTTCGCAGCGATTATTTGTGATCATGTGTCATTTTATCACATTAAGCTAACTAAGTTATTTCCTAGTCAACATTTAGTAATTTTTTCCCTGAATTTTAACCATATAAAAGGACATTGTGTATTTTAAAGTAAATTAAGGCATTTTTAATGATTTTTTTTTAGAAACTTTAAATGTTTAGATTTTTAGATACAGAAATGATTCTTAACACATTTCTAATATTTCATTTTGTGTGTTATTGCCCAGACTAATGTATATCGTCACTCTCTCTTTTTAACTCTAGGATACCCATCAGCCCAGATGGGTCCTGCTGTATCTCAGGAGCCCTACGCTGGAACCTACACTATCATCCAACCTTCTGTAGTGGTGGTTGGAGGCTGCCCCGCCTGCAGGTGAAGATACACACATTCTGTTCTATCAAAGTTTTCACCCTGTCATTATTCTAATGTTTGACTACATGCATTTCTAAAAGTAGCTACACTCCTACTTTATTGCAGCAATTTGTGGTCGGTTCTAAACATCACATGCTTCTCTTTGACCCATGGAACAATGATGAGAAAACTGATTAACACCGACAGCTACAGATCTTAGACAAGGAAACATTCCTGAGAGCTGAGTGTCACAGTACGGCTGCATTTCATTCTGACTATGTCTGATTTCGACCATGAGCGTCTCACAACCATCAGAACTAATCGTCAACTAATCCGTCAACTTCTCGGCACAACTCTGTAAACTGATGAACCAGTTCAGCCTCACTGAAAAGGTTTCATTGTGCGTGACTCATTGACACCATTCACAGTCAGATGATTTACTTATCAGTCATGTGGCCGTGTTGGTCAGGTTGCACTGGGCAAAGAGTGGTTACAGTTAATACAGTAAAGAGAAATGGAAATCTGAAAATCATTTTTTGAGGAAGCTGGTGGACAAAGCTGTGCTGTACTTCATTTCACAGAAGTCAGTTAATAGTTACGGTACTAGTTAAATTTAGAAAGAACAAAGATGAGGGAACGTCAACTCGATTCCTAATTTAAAGTGTTAAATCACTGGTAACTGTCATCGCTGTCATCGCTGGTAACTAATCACATCAAACACGTTGATTTGTTTAATCATTATGAGTTTAAGTAAAAGCTGTTTCACTTTTTTAATTAAATGAATAAACTCAAATTATTATGACAAAGTTTTATGAAAATGACTGAAAAAGTTTTTAAAGGGGCCAAAATGTGAGAGGTGATATTTTTAGCACAAGTTAAAAAAACCCAGTTTTCCTAGAGATTTCCATTAACTTTCAATTCAATTAAATCCAATTCAATTTGTACTGAATGACTTCCATGACCAGTGTAGCGCCCCCAATCTGTCCATGTGACCTCACTCTGCAGCTCCTAGTGGCAACTAAATTGTGACGTCCATTTCTCATATACAGTCCATACATCATGCAAACCAAGAAGGAAAGTTAACATTTTCTTTCCACTTCACTGTTCTCTGCAGTCATGAGACGTTGTTTAGCACTTTTCCTCTGAGTGACGTCTAGATTAGAGCTGCTCTCTGATTTAAGACTCTCTTCAAAACAAGTCGCTCCACTGTGTGTTTGTCACATGAGGAAAAACAAATGAATGGGACCTTTTCAAAGGACATTCAAATCAGTTTGCAACGTGCAAATCACTTCGGCCCGGCTCTTTAATTTTAGCTTAACAGTGAAAGGTTAGCTGGAGACACTGACTGACTCACAGAGTCTGTACTGTGGACAAAGCTTCTCTGCTTTCATTATGACAACGAAAGCTGTTTCCTCTTTATGGCCATTTACTGCTAAATGTCAGCATGTGGTTCACACTCGAGATGAACCAATAAATGTTTTTAAAGAGTAAATTAGCTCACCCTCATTTAAAACAAAAAGGTGGAACTAGCTTACCTTGTTAGCCAGGGAAGACTAATTTGGTCAATGACAGATGAGGCAAAGAAGAAAGTTGACCTGTTGTCAAAGACGTCTTGATTCTTTGACAGAAACTCTTGCTCTTCTCTTGCACGGGTGTTTAGACTTTCTTCATTTGTCTTTTGCAGTATGTTGTAACCCCCTGCTGGTCAGACACTGTACTGCATACAGAACTGCAATTCTTAGTAGCATGAGACTTATATTCTAAATGCGGTCTAAATGACATAGACTTGTTAATATACTCAGCAGAGCCGCCCCCTGGTGGCGAACACCACCTGTGCCATTACAATGTAGGCATTATTTTCCAAAACAAATCGGTGACCTGTGTTTTCTCCTGTCTGTGTTTCAGGGTTGGAGTCCTGGAGGACGACTTCACCTGCCTGGGGATACTGTGTGCCATCGTCTTCTTCCCCCTCGGCATCCTCTTCTGCTTCGCACTGCGTCAGAGAAGGTGTCCCAACTGTGGCGCCACCTTTGGATAGAGGGACCAAACAGCTCACAAACACACATGCCAATTTATAACCCAGCATTTTTTTTTGTCAAAATCTTTCTTACTACTGCACATAGATGTTGCCATTACATCACATGAAAAAATGATCAAATTACTTTTTTTTAGTGAGTACTTCTTTAGTATTTTCACCTCATAGCAGCAAAGTCAGCAGGTGGATGTAGGACCCCCGTCTGTGTCACAGAAATACCCCCCCACTCTATAATGACTATTGGGATTGGCTGCAGCTTCTTCAGCTCCACAGTTGATGGACGGACAGAGTCTTTGCTGAAAATTTGGGTGAAAATTCAAACATCCATTCTAGCATTCATGGACGTCCAGCTGCTGCCGGTGCCTTCACTTCCTGCAGAGTGAGCATGTGAGATTCCATCAGTCAGGAATTCTTGTGTGGACATGAACACAATCATAACCAGGACCTGAGTGGATCCCTTCATGTTTAAATAAGCTGAGGCTAACAAGGATTTTTTTTTTCGTCTTTTATTTGAAGTGTGCTGGCACTCTGCCGACGTGTTTCCTCTGATTATCATTGTGCTTTGATAACGTTTAGTAACAACACACAGCACGTCTGTCACGGATATATTGCCTGTTTTTGTTCTTTCTTTAGCTGTCTGCTGATTGTGACATTAAAACACACACAGTAAAGTTAAAATCCCTGAAAATGACCCGTCACGTCTGACGGAGTGGACGGAGACAAACCCTCGCCTTGTCCGTTTTTGTTGATCTTCTTTTTTGGGGCCATATTTTGCACTGAGCGTTTTTCTGTTTGATGATTCTGCTGGGTTGTGTTTTTCCAGGGCCAATGCAGACCTCAGGTAGAAACAATCTGGAACGCCCTCCACTTTACAACCTCAATCACTGTTTGACTTTGGACTAACAGAGAAACTCCTGTGAGCACACAGGGACTCTGACAGTTAAGGAAACGTGAATGAAATGACGGAGACGTCTCTCCATCACATGTATGTCTGGATTTTTATCTTTATACTTTATACACGTCACCCTGTCCTGCTCTTTTCTGCCAGACAATCAGGAATGTCAGTGTCCTCTCGTCCGGGTCTTCCATCTTAGTATGATGATACACAGCTGTCCGCAGCAGGAGACAAAGAGGTACAGTGCATGTGGGGAGGGACATTTGTATCACAAAAACAAAAACTTTCTTTAAAAACAACAGGCATGCTCCCGTGATTGAGGTTCCTGCTTTTTATATGAGTTATAGAAAATAAAAAAGAATGAATGCTACTTCACCTTGTATGGGCCTCTTATTTTAAGACTGTGTAGAAAACGATATTACGAGAAAGGCACGAGAGTTGAGGACGAATTAATCAAAGAAGTGAATCTTGTTAATTGTATTTTATGTAAGTAAGTATACCGAGGTATATAAATTAGGACGGGGCAACTCATTTTAATTGCAATTATTTGGATGACTGTCGATTAATCGCGATCAAGTGAAACTAGTTTGACGCAGTGAAAAATCAGTCTGAAACAAAACGAATTAAACTTAAAGAAAGAAACAGAAGAAACAAAACTTTATTTTTTTATACAGCATTTTCTGTCGTGACTAATGAGTGACACCGAGTGGGCAGACTGGTCGAACAATGCTGTGTGTGATGACTGGAGCAGAAATACTTAGAGTCCTGTCATTTGTTAGGCAAATAAGGCAAAAAAGATCTTGAATATATGTGCATACGTATATACTCTATATATACATACACAAATGTATATACAAAAGAGATTTCTGTGGATAATAATAATATTACGCCTCACATCTCTTCACATGTGCAATTCTTATTAATGTTGCAACATTCTCATGAGGACCTGAGGGTGAAACACAGACATCGTCTTCATTCGTCTACCGTCGTGTGGCAACAGAAATGACTTCCAACGCGCTGCTGTGACGACTCACAAGTGACACTATATTTATATATATTTATATATATATATATATATATATATATTTATATAATCGCTGACCATTGTTATTCACGTTGTTCTCAAGTACAGATTAAATTTGTGGTCATTTAAACATCACCACAACACACACACACAGAAGCACAAAAATAGACATTAAAAAAAAAAAACTTTAAATATATGTAAAGCATCTGGTTCGGTAATAAAACGGCCCTGGAATACTTCCTTATGCAGCAGTGAGGGGATCCTACAGTATTTTCAAATGGCATTTTTTTTTTAATTTCAGTTTGTCCATGCAGGCCACCGTCTCATCCACACCAGAGGACGCTGCATGTCCTGGGTGAAGGATGGTGATAAGGTGGTGAAGATGTAGAAATGTGGACAGATCAGATGACCGGTGCAGAACGGTCGTTAGTGACGGTGGGACGTAGCCTGACTGTAGCGAAAGGGTTCCCTCCCCTGTAGAACAGGCAGCAAAGGGCCAACATTTAGTGTGTGTGTCTGTGTGTGTGTGTGTGTGTGTGTGTGTGTGACAGAAGGACATTGTCCAGGTCACACAGGTCTGGTACTTACGCCAGGTAGGCAGGTGGAGGTCTGGAGACGCCGTTAGACTGAGATCCCTGCAGAGAAGACACAGACACACCTTAACATCGATGTCACAAGGTCAGTGATTGATTGACAGGTTCAAACGTGTTTGAAATAGTAACATGTGAGACTGTCTTTATCACACAGAACAAGACTGGTCTCCAGCAGCAGAGGCAGTGGATTAACAATTGGGTGGAGAGAGCGTGTGAACGACACAGTGTCACGTCACAAGACGGCGAGTGGAATCTGAACATTCTGGAAGGTCAGGTTTGTTCCACATTTGAAATGACTACTTTAAATTATTCATTTTACCTATCCTTCAATCTTTTGGTTTTACTTTTATCAACATTTTGCTATCATTGGGTTAAACCTGCTATTAAGTACTTTCACAAAATCTCTAGTGTTGTAATATACATATATACATTTGCAGAGCTCTAAATCTAAAACTATGACTCACCCCAAACCTGACTGTAAGTTAAGTCTGTGAATGTTTTTTTTTTACAGCCCGGAAGACTCAAGATTTCAAAGCAACGAGGAGCAGTACTTCAAAGATTCCAGAAGAGGTCAGCAGTGGACTAAGTAAGAAATGCAAGACAGTATGTTTAAGCACCGGCTTGATTTACTGTTGATTCACATTATTATAATTATTATTATGATTTTATTAAAGCACTATGAACAATAGGTGGCCACTCCTCTAAACACCAGCTTCAAATGTATTTTATAGAGTTTTCCTTAATTTCTCAGTTTTAGTTACAACAGCACGATGTTTCTAATTTCATTTCAGAATAGCGCCCACTTCAGGATAGACTTTGCCAAACTGTGGGATGATGAGAACTCCATAAACCCTTTAAACTTTATGTAGATCAATAATATTTTCATCAAATTCCTCCACATGAGGTTTCAGGCAGTTTTATATAAAATACAGTAAAGTGACTCCAACACAGCCTCCCTTCTGCTTTTAGCTTCAGTTTCTGGATCTAGCTGAGATCTCCAGCCTACACTCTGTGTGTTTTCATCAAGTATTCAGTTTGAAAATGAACAAATGCATGATATTGCAACCGCTGGAGACATGTGAGTGGAATTTAGTCTCTCTTTGCTGTTGTATTAAACAGAACAGTGTGGAATCAAAGTCAGGGACTGGTACTGATCCTCTGGGTCACAGTCGTGTCCACCCCTTTAACTCTGCTCACTGAATGTATTCATTCCTCTGAGCCATTATCTTTTACCTACAAACACACACAGAGCGCCAAACCAGTGAGGGTGCATTTTTCTCTCATGGTGACAGTGCATTCCAGGGTAACCCCACCTCCCTCCCCGGCCCCTCCCTCTCGGCTTTCCTTTTCTCACCAAACTGGCTGATACACATTTCCACCAATTTGATGACCATTGGTGACCTTCGTTTATGCAAATACATGTCATAAGATTCAATTATGTTTGTTTTCGTGACCTTCGTCAAAACTTTGGCTATGCTAATATCCATCAGTATACAATGTAGACACTGAGTGTGTACTATGAGTAGCGATAAACAACAACACCGCAAACTGAGATCTCAGTTTTTTTATATTCAGCTCTATAACTGTTCAAGTACCAACACACACACTCTAATCTGCCCTCCATTACTCTGAGCTGAACATAAACCAGTATATTATAGCTGTGGAAAACCTTTCCCACACACTAGTCTATTATGGGATCAGTGTGTGTCTATGTGTTTGTGCTTTGAATACATTTAAAGCTGAGGTCTTAAGGGTTGTAAGACATGGGACATGAGTTGCATTTTGAAAAAATGCCATTTTTTAAAAAAATATATAAATTTCAAAATGCTACAATTTGATGAGAAATACGCAGAAGACTTTTTCCCCCCAAAATATATTTTTAATAAAAACATTTTCAAAATGCTATAATTTGATAAATTTTATTATTTTTTATAAAACTTTCAAAATGTTAACTTTTCATATTAGTCAAAAACTAAAGATTTTTGACGTCTTTGTAAAATTATTTTTTTAAATTGTATCTTTTCCTCCATGTTTCTCAACAAATTAGGGCACTTAGGAAACATTTTTAGAAATTTATTTTATAAACTTTCTGTCAAAATGTGAACTTTCTGTGTCAATGTTTGTCAAAACCTAAAGATTTATGACAAAAATCTTTGTAAAATTATTTCTCAAAATTGTATGTTTTCCTCTGTTTCTCATCAAATGAGGGCATTCAGAGGACATTTTTAGAAATTTATATTTATAAAACATTTTGTCAAAATGTGAACTGTTTGTGTCAATTTTTGTGAAAAATTGGATGAAAATCTTTGTAAAATAATTTTTCAAAATAAATAAAATATTTACTGCATTTCGGGGACTTTTTAT